AGATAGGCCTAGATAATCAGTATGTGGTGGGGTTTTTTAATAATGTTGATCGAAGGTATTGGTTGTTCAGCACTACAATGAGTAGACATTGAGCCATTTCTCCAGCCACAACTCTCTCCTATCTTTGCTTGTGTTAGTGTCCCAATAATGTCCTTAGGATTTGTAGCACTCACAAAAAAAATTAATGAATTATATTCAACATACGCAGTGCTGTCTTCTTCGGACATCGTTTAGGAATCTCCACCATGTCGGCGGTCTGGAATCGGCGCTCGTTAACTTGGGAAAACAACAACCATGCCGTTCATATTTCTCTCCTTTTATTACTTTTCATTACTTTTAATGACAGAAGAGTTCTATCAGGGAGGTAATTACAGTGTATGACCTAGATCTATAAAAAACGATGTTGACTTGAAAGCAGGAAGATTTTTTTCACATGCAGGGTGGTAGACCTTGGAACAATTTGTCACAATGTCATTAATACCCAAACTATTATAGAATTTGAGAAGCTGCTTGATGAACACTGGAAAAATAATCGTTTCTATTATATTTCATAAATCACAATCTTTGCTTAAGCCATTACACCGAACTGTTATTACTTTTATTTTCATATGTTTATATTTTATATGGATATAGAGTTTTTTTTAAGAAAGCCTGCGTCCATAATTTACCAAACAAATCCTAATATATTATATAGCTCGATAAGCCAACACGAGTTATCGCCCCTCGTGATACCCTTATAACTACAGAATCTACAAAATGAACAGGTACATGGTACACACATGCTTTTCCATTATAATAATTATATCAATTACAGACGTTAATATCACATTTCTTTCACAAAGATATCAGTGATATCATTCACAAATATTAATAGTATAGAATACATGACTTCTGAAGAGTGAGGAGAGCGGGATAGAGAAATTCAAAAATATACTTGCTCGTTTTATGGATATATTGCCGAGTATGCAAAAATATGGTTTGGTTTTCTTGTTCAGAAAGAGAAGTGTCACTGAATGAGAGTAAATTCAAGTTTAAGGGTATGTATTTATCAAGTTGGCGAAACAACTTCATTCGTTGGTCAATATAATTAAAACAGATAAAAAGGAAATGAAATGTATCTTCAACAGAAGAGCCACATGTATGACGTTCGTTAGTAGCATAGTTCACTCAAAAGATCCCTCCAAAGAGCACTAGCATTATTTATTAATTTGGTGTGCAAGATTATTCTATCACCAAGTAGAAAATAATTTGGAACATGTGTGAATGATGAAAGAGTTTCGCTATGTCTAGCACTGATAGCAGGCGCTTTATGATGTTGTGTATGGTAATTCAACTGCAACAAATTCTCCATACGATGAACTTTAAACGGAAGTGTGGCTGGAACTTCATTACCCACAATACACTTACCTCAGCACGCAATGAGAACTGCCGACCCCTTGAATGGATTAAAACTGATTTTGACCGACAAAATATCTGTTTAAGTTTTCATGTGGAAATGAAATCGTGCTTAAATAATTCAAATGAATTTAACAAACACATACTTTAACGGTTTGAAACGCTTATATCGTTGAAAAAATTACAGCTATTTAACTATTTAAGATAAGAGAACGTTTGTTTTCTGATGTGCCTGATTTTCGGTTTAACCTTTGAAAGACAAGTGTGATACAACTGTGCCTGATGATGACGATGCATAGTTTTCTAGAAGAAGAAGAAGAAGAAGAAGAAGAAGAAGAAGATGATGATGATGATTGTTAAAATCTTGCGAAATATAAAACAAATCTAAAAAAACACGCTTCAGTGCAGACATGGATCAGGCAGTTCAAAATGTGCATCTTGTTGACCAACTTGTGCTCGTCTTATCCTTCTGTCCAACTAGCCCCATAAATGTTCTATTGGGGGAGAGGTCAGGGCTGTATGGGGGGGGGGGGGGGGGTTGCCGTTGACGCTGCTGTACTAGAGGAACAACATGCGGCGCTGGGACTTGATCTCTATAGCGGACGGCCGTGAGATTTCCCTGAATAACGATAAGAGGAATCTTGATACCATGCGTAATCCCTCCCCATACCATGACCGATCCTCCTCCAAAGTGGTCATTCTCTAGCATGCAAGCATCTGCATAGCGCTCGTGGGTACGTCTATAGACACGACGTCGGCCGTCTGCCCGGTAAAGCGAAAACCTGGATTCATCTGAGAACAGGACCCTTCTGCAACGTTGCATTGGGAAGCGTCTTACGGAATGTGCGTTCAGCCATTGCATTCGTCTGGCACGTCGCCTCGCATTAAGCTGTGGTCCAATATATGGCCGCCGCGGTCTTTGACCGAAAGCACGCAGTCGAGTACCCACATTCTTTGGATCAATTGGAACAATTGTGTTCCTTGCTGTTTCCGTCGCTGTTAGAAAGCGATTGCGTAGGTGCGAAAGTCGCATTGCCCTATCCTGCCGACGCGTTGTCACACGAGGGCGACCGCCTCGGGGACGGTCTGCAAACCTTCCGGTGGCATGTAGTCTTTGGATGAGACGGCAAATGTTTGATGGATGGACTCCAAACTGATTAGCGACCTGATTTTGCGGGGTACCTTGCATAAGAAATGCAATGGCACGACCCGTGTCAACTTCGGGCAGTCGTGGCATTTTTACGGTGAACTGTTTATGCTTAAAATGTGGGAACTCAAGACGGATATGCCTGAAGATTCGCACACACAGATTTTGAACCAATCCTTTATACTGGGTTCGAGATATCGTGCTCTTGTCTCATAATCTTTTGTACAAGCGGCGTGTGCAGTTTAGTTATGCATCAGTGATTTTAATACGGTACCATAGGGACCTAACTCAAATGCACACATTTGTCAAATTTCAAGGGTGTACGTCAAGGATTTAATTTACAATATTAACTTTCTGCTAATTGTGTTTCTCTTTCCTCTCAGTATATATCAAAATCAGATGCTATATGTTCTAAATATGATCACTTGTTTCTTAAACTACGTATGTTCAGGTGAGAAATAGAAATGTCTTTCGTACCACTTCACTTTACCTGGGTTCGGATGAACATCATTACATGATAAAAGTAGTATTTGCAAGATAATAATAATAATAAAAAAACGGTAAGGGTTATCAATTAGACTGGTTAAGAGGAGTTTCACAACATATGATAATTTGATCACCGTGCACATCATAATTGACCACACTCCTTTTAACAATTTCATGAGATTAATAACGTAAATAACTTGTTTCGTGTCAGAACGTAGTGTGTCCGAAAGTAAAAACAGTCAATCGTCGTTCTATAGGACACTGAGTCATTACCCATCATACTAAGCTGAGAGGTATATCACCTAACATAAACTTGATGTGGATATCGACACAAATTCAAATTAACATGAAATAGGCACTGCCTGTAAGTGATCGCAAGTTGATCAACATTTTGATCTGCATGATTCATGGCTTCACTAAAGCGTGTTTTGTTTTGACTAGCTTTAGATTTGAACAAGACACACTCCGACATATCCACATATTCCAACGTGTTACCACGGACTGCGATCTGTCTCCGTGGTGTCGTCGCCGACATATCCACATATACCAATGTGTTGCCTCGGACTTCGATCTATCGCCGTGGTGTTATCGCCGTCTTATTCACGACGATCATGTTAGAGACTGGAAACTGATGTAATGAAAAGAAATTTATGAATTATATCGTATTTTATCATTGCACATTTTATGTAAAATATCTGTTTACATAAATAGGATGTGTTATCTTTTTTATTGGTTTTTCCAATTTCTTCCGTTCGTTTTACAAATTCATTTGTAAGCTTCTACTCTTTACTACAAGTCTGGACTTTATAATGAACCAGGATAGAACACCTATATTAATGAGCTACTATTTATTAACTTGTGTAAGTTGAGTACAGACATTGTTTTATATGCATAATAACCTGATTGTCAAATTAATCTCCTGAAATGTTGAAAGGCCAAAAAGCCGTAATAGCGGACGTTACACTTGGTAAATAAATGAATAAATAAAGTCGACTTTATATATTGGAGTGTTGTTATTCCTGATCTTCACAAAAGTAGATATTTGTTTATTTGCATCGACGTCACAATGCGTAGAAATGCGTAACTGGGAGTTAACGGATTAATGCTAAATAGTGAAATAGCGAGTATTCATTTGTTTGTTTATTTTTTTTTGTGTGATAACATACAAACTAAAAGTTAGTCCCGTGGGTTATCAATAAATAATATAATTGAACGATTAACACTTTTTGAGTTGTAGCAGTTGTAGTATGTACAAGATTTAAACCTTATATCAAAAGAAACTTAAAGTTGGGTCATTTCAGTGTATGCTGAAAAGCAGACGCATGGAGATACACCAACACCACTCGATCTGTTGTAGACTGTGGCGAATTGTCACCTCCATGTAACGTCCACATAAGCTACATTTCCTCAAGTCGAGATTTTCCTCAGCTGATATCTCCTCAAAAACGGTTTGTATAAAATTTTCTCAAGGAACAGGAGGAAGGCATCGGCTAGGATGTCCTGAAATTCCTTGAGGAATTTTCATACAAGATATTTTCAAGGAGATATTAGCTGAGGAAAATCTGGGCTTGAGGAAATCTCAAGTTGAGATGTTTTATACAAGTGGGGCCTGGAGACATTGCACAAAGGGAAGTAACTGCTAGATGCGGTGCACGGTGCAAAATTTCATCCGAGCTGGTGCACGTGGCTTGTCTTTCCTGACACTGTCTGCGTTGCTGAAACGAAATCAGTTCACGATTACGAACTCATAAATGTCTATATTTTGTTTGAAATAACAGCATACCAGAGTTATTTAAAAGGATTTTGATTGCAAAGAAATTGAAATAAATAACATTTTAAAAGAATAACTACTGTATTAACATTTGTACTGAATGCAACAATGAAAAAGATAACGACCAATACGTCAGGTTAGTTACAGGGGGAATTCCCCAATGGAAATCCCTCGAAAAGAGATTCATGGATTGGGCGATATAGCAAATGTGATGAAGGTGGTTGAAATTATCAGATTTCATTGGCAGTTACCAAAATTTCCGTCAATCTGTTAAACCGATGCGGTTCTTCTGACTGACAATATTGCAAGTTTCCACTGAACGCAGCAAAGTGTTGTTTATTTGGCAAAACACAGTGTGCTTATCTCACGTCAACAGGTCGATGTAAAATGAAATTCCGTAAGTTGACCGACATACCTTTGTAGAGCAATGTAGACACTAAAATATACATAACAGTAGGTGCTTGTCAGTTGTATACCATCAACCAGTATGTCGTCACGCATCTTCATCGATCTAAGTGCGATCGCGATCAATCGCGGAATGTGTGGAATGCTTGTAACATTAGACACCTTGTAAACACCTGACAATGTGAGGTGGCGTTAGGGAGTTGATGACACCTTGGTATATATATGTGTGTGTATGACACCGAAGGATAGGGACATTGATGACGGAGAAACACTGATCGTGATACTAATGTAAGGTGGGAGATTTATGACAATGTAGATTGGAATATAGATGACAATGTAGGATCGGAATATAGATGACCATGTAGAATCGGAATATTGATGACCGTGTAGGGTTGGACTATTGATGACAATGTAGGTTTGGACTATTGATGACAATGTAGGGTTGGAATATTGATGACAATGTAGGTTTGGACTATTGATGACAATGTAGGGTTGGAATATAGATGACAATGTAGGATCGGAATATTGATGACAGTGTAGGGTTGGACTATTGATGACAATGTAGGGTTGGAATATTGATGACAATGTAGGTTTGGACTATTGATGACAATGTAGGGTTGGAATATTGATGACAATGTAGGGTTGGAATATTAATGACAATGTAGGGTAGGGAAATGTGGGAAACAGGGCCCCATTTTAGTAGTTATTTTTTCTCACATAATGCATGTGTTCCAGAGAGCGATAAAGTCTGTCTAAACAGGCAGCTCTCAGTTTTACATCATCTCGTATCACTTCATTCACTTTTTATGATACCCGAGTGTAGATGTATCTTTATTTACAGCAGACAGAGGTGAAAAATGTTTTTTTTTTTTTTTTTTACACTTTTTGTCTTATTTCTTTTATTGCAGGATTAATTTGTTGGAATGAAAAAGATGTTCATGAGAAAGCTGAAAGTTTGAGTCAGTCCCTGACAAATCGATCACTTCAGCTAGCCTTTTCTGGGATATTGGCCATACAGGGTAACTATCTATGGTTCTTTCTGTTTTTTCACGACATTAAAGGTCATGGACAACATTATTTTGTAGATAATGCAATTTTGATAAAGATATCACCTAGGTAGTATCCTGAATCGATTTTCACGATAGTTGTAGCAGAGTGCATTGGGCTACAGGTGAGTTTGATTACCTGTCTGCAGTTTGGCTTTTTCCGGTAGCTTTTGGAAATCTTCAGTGCCAAAACAAGTAACGAATCAATCGTGTTATCTCTTTCATGTCAGAAATATACCAGGATGAACACCTTGACACACCTGGACACAGGTGTGTATCCATGGTCACAACCTGGTGTCGAGACCTGTTATTTACCTGTATATTTTCATACTAAGGCTAAGCAGAGAGAGGATATTGTACCATTGTTATAAACCCTAATGTTAACTATCATGTGATGTACATAAGAATATCATGTGATAACATTGATTCTTCATCTCTAAATTCTGACTTATTAGATCATTTCATTATTATAGTAAATTAAAAAAAAGTGCAGGGACAGACAATACGTATACGTTAATCCCTGCTCATTGGTTGTATTTAGCCTCACCTGTCTTTGAAAGTATCTATGTACACTAAATACAGTGTCTTTGTCGTTAATACTTGACTACACAGTAGCTATTGATTTAAGTCTTCTTGTTCTAGGATAACAATTGGCAAACACAGAATAATAATTATATGATGTTTATACTTGCACGTGTATTGTCCTACATGTCAAAGTTGATGATGTTGTATAGTGTATGTATGTATGTGAAATCTGTACACTTACTCTAAAGATAAAGTTCAGCCCTGTATTTCTATTGTGACTTTCGTTCTGTATTTCATGTGTGGAACTGAGTAGTAGGCAAGAGTCCTGCTCTGTATTTTTTTTTGTTTTTCTATTGTAACTTTCATTCTGTATTTCGCGTGTGGAATAGAGTAGTAGGCAAGAGCCCTAATCTGTGACTTTTTTTGTTTTTCTATTGTGACTGTCGTTCTGTATTTCATGTGTGGAATTGAGTAGTAGGCAAGAGTCCTGCTCTGTGGTTTTTCTGTATTTCTATTGTGACTGTCGTTCTGTATTTCATGTGTGGAATCGAGTAGTAGGCAAGAGTCCTGCTCTGTGGTTTTTCTGTATTTCTATTGTGACTGTCGTTCTGTATTTCATGTGTGGAATTGAGTAGTAGGCAAGAGTCCTGCTCTGTGGTTTTTCTGTATTTCTATTGTGACTGTCGTTCTGTATTTGGCATGTGAAAACATGTGTAACAAGTAATAAACAAAACACAAATAAAATATCCAAGCATTGTAAAATTGAGGCAAATTGAAAGGACTATAAACTATGTTTGTACTGACTAGCAAAAAAGTAGTTAAATATATGAAATAATGCATGATGAAAGCATACCATATGCTGAAATAGCAATATTTTGTGATTTTGTGCGAAAAAGAAAAAAATATGTATGTACTACCTTATCCAGGTGAATGCACAGTCCAATTAACTAATTAGTGTCCTATCATGATCACAAATACTCTCCAAATGGCAGTTAGGCGGTTTGGTGTGTACTTAGGTAGACCAGGTAAAAGTTTGAAAGTTAACAGCGATGAATAATGTTATGAATATTGCATTTATCAAACACTTTATGTTAAGATAAGAATAAATTTCCTTTTGTAAACAAAATTTGAAAAAAGTGAAAAGTCAGTTCCCATCACTGAACTGAGTACAAGACGAAAATCACAAAATGAACAAATTCATACAGAATGATATTGTTTTCAGATATACAAAGTTGTCACTGTATGTCAATATTGATGTGCAGTGAAATTACTTAAATTTGCCTTACAATTCATCAAAGTACTGTATACCTATAATATTTGCCGAAACAACCAGACCAGGAAAAGATTCATCACTCGAATGATCATAACTGGACATGGTTTAGCTACTTTTAGGCTCAAACTGTTATAGTCTAACAACAAACCTTACCTTTTTGTAGTTTTATACGTGCTGGGCGTGCATATTTAAGAAATTATAGCCGATTTAATGTACACAGTCTTTATAAACACTACTAATGAACATGTTTCCGGTGGCGGAAGTGACATCACAAATGATTAACTAATGAGAATCCTTCATTTTCAAAAGAGAAAAAACACTAGATATTTTAACTTCCCCACATTTTTTCAGACAGAAATAATGCTACCTGTACATTGTGTAATTCACTGATCACTTTTTAAAGACATTATCTAATGATTTTTAATGAAAAGTTAAATTTTTATTTTAATTTCAGATGTACTTAGACATATTTTCATGAATTATAATGAAAAGTAATATTTTTATTTTAATAGCTGATGACCTTCAATAGTAATTTGTACTGATTTTCTCATTTCACCAAACAGCACATATTTCTATAATGGATTTTAATGTATCTACTGAATTCAGCTTGACCCCAATTATGCCAAGTTTGTACTCAATCTTATGAAAAGCAGACATGTAATTTCTGGTTCTCTACCATTGTGAAAGATCTTAGAGGAGCAAAAATAATTGTAGTGTCATTTCAATAAGATTGTATTTGTACTTGTATCATACTTTTCACAAGGTATAAGCAAAATGGCTGGAATCTGCTTGACTGATTTTAGAAACTGATACTAAAATACATTAAATATTGATGGATAACATCAATGTGAATCAAAATCTTCATTCAAAATAATTTCTTTTCCAAAACAGATTTTAACATTGCTTTCTCTCGTAATTATTTCATATGTTTGTCCATACCTGTACCACCTGCGTACCACTTCTGTCTTTAACAGTTTTGTTGTTCAATTTGTTGTTTACCTGACACTGATATTACACTGAATTTTACCTGATGACTTACTCAAAAAACAATTGCTCTATGCAAAAATATAGTTCCAAACTTCATCTGATATTACAGTGATTTTTTGAATTTTCATAAATAAAGTTGTTCATTACAAAATATAATATTGCTTATTTAAATATTTTTGTTAACATACCTTATGCAGTACCTTTCTGGTAAATTTTTAGGTGTCCAAGATGTCAGTGAGGCATGTGCTTTTTTGGGAAGTGAATTTGAAGGGACTACAATATTCATTTTGGACACAAATTTTGTTTCCCTTATGGAAAACAGGAAAGCTTTCAAGTTCTTTCAAAGAATAAGAGGTATGTGGATATTTATTTTTGAAACATTAACTTTTAGTAATTGTGACTTTATGATATAGTTGGGAAATTTATACCATTGATTTTGATTAATATTGGTTTCGATTTTGTCTCTTTGATCTTAATGCTTTATATTGAATAAGTATAATTGGGAAACATTTACAGTTCTTGAAGTCAGTCTTCGGTAATATCATAATTTTGTACATTTATATATATTTACTGGATGTATGAAAGTTATTTATGGTGGAAAGAAGAAACTGTTCGTCAGTAGATGATATATCTACTGGCGGTTAAGTACTTACCAGGCAAGAAGTCAACTTCTGTCATTTGTTAGGAGTCGGAGGTTACGAACATGTATCAAACAGTCTGCGCTTATTACTGGAGGAATACAGTTTCTATATTAAAGTTTTTTTTAATTTTTCAGAATGTATGTCTCCACGTCATAAGGGCCACATCTTGTTTATCAACCATGATGTCTCTCCAGAGGCACTGGAAGAATTTAAGAAGGATTTTGAACTACCAGAATACTTTCAGCAGTTACTTGTTCACTGTGCTGGCCATGGAGTGGAGGAAATGGGCAACCTTGTCTATAGAAGACTGATGTCATTTGTGGGTCCTACAGAGTCGGAAGGTAACGGTCAATCGCAGTAAACAGTAGAGTAAATTATGGGTCCCAACACTACTTAAGGTTCAAACACTTAAGGTGATAACTTTCTGATATTCTTATTTTCAATTTATCTCCCCCGCCCCCACCATGATTCTGATTTTTCTTGTTCATCTCCCCAACCCTGAATGCAAAATGTGCAAAAAGTGAAAAAAAAACCCCAAAAAACACATGCAAAAAATGCTTTAAAAATTCAATTTGTTAATCAAGTGCTTTTTTTATTAGCAGATGAACATATGAGATTGACACAAGGTATAATTGGAAATCCCATGGGCTCAGCCCTGGGAACTAACAGCTGGGAAAGGATGAGTGTGACTTCATTACAGGGTGATCAGACTTTTCCCAGTTTACCGTCACACTACCTGAGACAGAACTCAACAACTGGTATGTTTCTATCCCTTGGACAATTCTTGGCCCTACTAAATTCCGTTTAACGTTTGTTTACCAGATGTATATCTCATAGCATAGAGTGAAATTAATGAATAAGTAATAAATAAATACATTTTTATACACTAATAATATCTTTTATTTGAATAAACAGTTAAAAGAGCAATTATAAAACGAAAAAATGAGAAACACTCTGCATTGCAGCACACTTGTGTATACACACCCACTCTCATACACATAACTTAGTGAAATTGATACCTAAAGTAATACAAATATTGCACTCATATTTATATCCTTAAGAGTAACAAGGCCTGTCAACAAAGTGAAGGCTGCGGCAATGTCTCTGAACCATAACTTTACTTTGTATATTAAATATTATTTATTTCAGACTTTCCATTTAGTGGTGTTGACATTTCAGACTGTCGCATACCAATGGAACACCACTGTTCCATGTCATCTAGTGAATCAATGGACGGGATCAGGCAGCCTCCAGTTGGAAACTCAGCCCCAGGATCTCTTTCAAAGGGGCTGTCAAAGTCACTACCAGTGTCAAGCTCACCAAAACCCCAAAAGGACCCTATGCAATTCAGGTCTGAACCTGCACCGGATAGATATAATGGTCATGTGACAAGAAATAACCCTAGTCATATGTCTGGATATAACCCTGGTCATGTGACAAGAAATAACCCTAGTCATATGTCTGGATATAACCTTGGTCATCTGGCAGAATATAACAGTGGATATATTCCAGGACAGGCAACAGACAGGGGTTTTCCACAGAGAGTGCCTGAACAAAATCTGGAAGATGTTTTTCCCTCTGACGAGATGTTTTTATCCTCTTATCATCATCAACAAGAACAGCAGCAGTCTTTAGGAAGAAAGATGCAGCTTACTGTCGGTTCAAATGACAGCGGCGTTGGTAGGGAGTTGTTTGGTATACAGTTCATCAGTCACAATGAACTTGGTGCACAGGACAGTAATAGAAGCATAGCGTCCTCATATATCCTTGGAGACATGGAACATCTAATGGACAACCTAGATGAGAATGCCTTGCCATTAGGATCCCTAGTTAATTCAAGGAACGATGGTCAGACTGTGACATCGGGGTTCTGTGTGGACTGTAAGAAAATTAAAGAGTCTTCAGCTTTAAGAAATCCTCAAAGTGCTTCAGGAAATAATGACTTCTACATGGATGAGTCTGTAGCTCAATTTTCAACATATGGTCCGTCTGCTCTAAGAGGAATCTGCACAGAATGTGTACAGAAAAAGCAAAGAAGAAAATCAGACAGTATACCATCTATGGGATCAAGTACAGTCAATGCTATGATACTGAGTGATGCTAGTGGAAAGCTAGAAAATATACACAGAGAGCAGCAGCAAATGACATTCCAGGGTCAGAGGTCACGGCAGCATCAAGGGGCATTCCAAAGACAGGGGTTCAATGTGGGGCAAAGCCCATCGCAAAATGAAAAGGTAGACCAGTGGAAGATATCAGAAAATGGTCTAGGATTAAAACAGGGGCAGATGTCACAAGATCAAAGGTCATTACAACAAGGTCAGATGTTAAATCAGAGGCAGACATCACAGGATCAAATGTCAGTACCAGAACCTTTGTCACAAGGTCAGTTGGCAGAACAGATTCAGATGAATCGCATTGCGACAAAAATGTCTGACATTAGACTGTCAGGACCACAAAGTATTGCCCTGTCTGAGACTAACCGAGATATCAATGGCATTTTACAGGCATACAGAAGTAGGAATGTTGACCCAACTATTGCCTGTGGTGTTGGTCGAAGAAATTACTACCAGACAATGGCTACAAACTCTCCAAACCTGGGACAGCAAGGGCTGCAAGCGATGGTTACAAACTCACCAAACCTGGGACAGCAAGGGTTGCAAGGAATGGCTACAAACTCACCAAACCTGGGACGGCAAGTGCTGCCAGCAATGGCTACAAACTCACAAAACCTGGGACTGCAAGGGCTGCAAGCAATGGCTTCAAACTCACCAAACCTGGGACGACAAGGGCTGCAAGCAATGGCTTCAAACTCACCAAACCTGGGACGACAAGGGCTGCAAGCAATGGCTACAAACTCACCTAATATGGGACAGCAAGGGCTGCCAACAAATGTACAGCACCAGAAAAGACAAGGGGAGTGCAGGAGTTTTGAGACTAGCTTGGAATTTGTAGGAGACAAACAGACAGGACACGACATAAAGATGACAAATGTCTCCTGTCAGAGTATGACCTCTCCCCACAGTGCAAGGTCTCAACAGACGAATACCAGCTTGCCGATATTGGGGATGCCGATGGAGATGAACTTGTTATCAAATGTTGGTGGGATATCCCGAGGACCTCAGTCTTTACCTAGCAATGTGCAATCAAAGACTGTGGGCTACTTTATGCCCAACATCCGACAGGGAGACTGTAATGACCACTCCAGCATACAGTCAGAGACAGGTAATTTAAGATGTGTTTGTGATTTTAAGCTGAAACTGTCGTGTCAAAAAGGGGGTGCGCACTATACGCAGGTACATGCCATTCCGGGGGTTATCATTCCCAAGTTCTGCATCCGCCATATTGGATTACCTCCCTTCACATAGTCATATGTAAAAGTCGTCGGTCTTATATGATAGTTTGGAGATAAAAACAACAAAAAAATAAAATGTTTTAATCATCTGCCATTCACGCTAGCATTACGGTGAATCTAATTTTTTTTTCGTTTCCCGTCATTTTGATGATGTATCTTTGATGATGTATCTGTGGAATTCATGACCCGCACGCGCAGTTCTGTTGTAAGCGATGCCAGGAAGTTTTTCTCTCTCCAGGCGATTGTCGTTTTTGTCTGTTCATATATTTCATCGGACCGCCCATCCCACCGATGCCCAAAGTTGGTGACCCCATGACCTCTCTTGATCTGCATGACCCGCACGCGCAGTTCTGTTGTAACTGTCATTAACCGTTAATTATACAATCAGCCAAGCCTTTCATGCTTGTTAGGTCACCTGGGTAAATTTGTTTACTTAAGGTAATTACAGGTGTTAGGGTCACGCTCATTGTGGTTTCCTAATTATCAATGGATCAGACCACATCAACTGTTTCGTTGCAGTGACCAGTCAATTAAGTTTTCTGTAGATTTTGTTTTTTTTTTTTAATCTGATCTCCAAAAAGTACCTGCGCACTATACGTGAGTGCGCACTATACGCGAATATTTACGGTATTACAAAAATATGATACCAGGGTACATATTACTGTTGCTTGTAGAATTTTGTATAGCACCCCGTCCTTACTTTAGCTCAGTTTTATTTACTTTGAAGAGGCCATACAGTACTTGAACAATGAACAGCCAGTATTAAATGTCATTTTTTTCCAAGTGTCTTTGTTTACGGAAAAAATATATAAGACCTGAAATAAAACCAGGAACATAGAGAGCATTTACATGACATTATCATTGTATATTTGAATTTATTTATTGTTATATGTTTTGGATAGATAACAGCAAAAGGAATGGGGATGTCTCAAAAGCAGAATACGACCTGGCAAGAAAGGTTTGTATGGACTACTTGCATAAAGAATCAGTTTTTTATTGCAATTGCTTCATATTTATCTTTTGATGGACAAACCAATTCAAAGATTATAAAACACTTATGAGCATTAATGATTTTATAGTATCATTACTTTCTGGGGTAAATTAAGAGTCTGTGTAAGAATGAAAGTTAAATCTTTGGCATTTATTTTGTCATTCTTCAAGCTTGAAGTCCTCATGACATGAAACTTTTTATTTTTCAGGAGGATAGATCCAACAGTATGAAGAATTCCACCAATCATCGTGGACGTGACGGTTAGTTTGTTATTACTTCCTTTGATCTCTCGTCAACGCAGATGTAAGGGTATAACAAATCATCGACTGATTCTTAATTAAGAGTTTTAACCTTCAACAAGGACGAGTTCCAATTTAGTTTGCATTGTTGTTTGCCCATTTGCTGTAACAAAAAGTTAAAATCAACAGATATTGTTATTATCTCTCTTTTCCTGTCCATCCATCTGTCGTAAGTCTTCTCAATACTGCACATGTTATCTAAAACATCTCTTTCCTTCATGTCCTCAGGAGCTAAGTGAATATTAAGTGAATTCTTAAAATAATCATGCTTGTATAAAGTGGATAGTTTCACTATTTCAGCTTAATTGTTCAAATTGGAATTTTTGGATTGTTAAATTGGGTCAAACTCGGGGGTCATAGTTAAACATGGTCTTTTACTATAATACTGCAGTGAATAGTCCAGAACTCAAACGTATCCTATTGTTCGTTGCATCTGCTTGCATGGAGTGAAAAGATTAACAGGATTATGTTACAACCCTATTAGTACATTACCTGATGTTTATCACATGGGACCAATACAACATGTAGCAGTGTCCAGGTCTCATTTACTTGGTTAAAGCTCACCAATCAATAGTTCATAATAAATGTTAATTCCTGCCATTGATAAAAACAAACTTTCAAAGTGAAATTGACTCTCGGAAATATTAATCAGATTTGTCTCTACAAATATGTAGCAGTAAAATGTTCACAATGTGTTTTTTTTTTTTTAATTTTATGTGATCATTGATTTAATCTGACTAAGCTTTGAGCAACTAGGTGCCTGGTTGCCTTACGAGCAACAAGGGGCCTGGTAGGCTTACGAGCAACTAGGGGCCTGGTAGCCTTACTTTATGCCTCGACTAAGTCAAGTGGCAGAATGTCTGGCTAGAGATGAAAGAGATGAGGACATAGTCTATGGGACAGGACATTGTAAAAGTTGAGGACATAGTCTATGGGACAGGACATTGTAAAAGTTGAGGACATAGTCTATGGTACAGGACATTGTAAAAGTTGAGGACATAGTCTATGGGTCAGGACATTGTAAATGTTGTGGACATAGTCTATGGGACAGGACATTGTAAAAGTTGAGGACATAGTCTATGGGTCAGGACATTGTAAATGTTGTGGACATAGTCTATGGGACAGGACATTGTAAAAGTTGAGGACATAGTCGATGGGTCTGGACATTGTAAAAGTTGAGGACATAGTCTATGGGTCAGGACATGTAAATGTTGTGGACATAGTCTATGGGACAGGACATTGTGAATGTTGTGGACAAAGTCTGGGACAGGACATTGTGAAAGTTGAGGACATAGTCTATGGGACAGGACATTGTAAAAGTTGAGGACATAGTCTATGGGACAGGACATTGTGAAAGTTGAGGCATAGTCTATGGGACAGGACATTGTAAAAGTTGAGGACATAGTCGACAGGTCAGAACATTGTAAAAGTTGAGAACCCTGGAACCTTTTCAATGACTATGTACTTCAGCTGTTGCCATTTATAAAGAGAAAAAACCTTCATCTTCCTCAGCATATTACAGTCATTATGTGCCTCAGTTCTCAACCCCTGGAGATTTGGTCTATAATTGACCTTAAGTGACCCTCTCTAGTTCACAACCTGAAGGGATATGGTTAATGATAAGCTCTGAGATGTCCATCTCTAGTTCACAATCTCAAGGGATTCAGTCTTTGATTATCCCTCAAGTGTCTATTCCCAATTATCCACCCCAGGTGATTTGACCTGTGACTGAAGTGTCCATCTTCAATGTTCAACCCCTAGAAATTTGGTCTATGATTAACCCTAAAGTGTCTTTCTCTAAATAAGTTTTCAACCCCAGAGTATTTGATTGATGATTGTCCTTAAATGTCCATCCCCAGTTTACAATTTTGAGGGATATTGTCTTTGATTAGCCCTGAGGTGCTCATCACTATCTTAACCCCTAGAGTAATGGGAAGTATAGGATATCAATGTGATGTTTTAGATGGTGCATCAGGGGGAACAGACCCGGAGCCTACCAATGATGCCAGCGGAGCAGAGAATCAGGCTGATATATATGACCTGACTTTGTCCGTGTTTGAGTTTATTCGCGACCAATTGGACTGTTCCCAGATGTATAACTGGAGGAACCTGGCTGATCTACATGGTCTCAACTACCGCCAGATTCAGGACATTGAACAATTATGGAAGAGCCATAGAATCGAAAGCCCCTTTGTGTACTTAATCCGCACCTTCCAACGGTACACTGTCCAGCAACTTCGAGATGACCTACAGAGAATTCCTCGCTGTGATTTATTGGATCGTCTTAAGAAGTGGGAAATTGAGGGAAAGTTACCTCCATATTGTGCTGGTCTTTTTACCAGGCCTTCATAGCCTGAGAACTTCTTGCACATCAGAATTAACCAGTCTTTCTTATGTAGTTTTTCAGATAAAGCTGATTGTAAATAGCTCTGATGAGATTCAGGTCCATACACAATGTCCAGAATTCATTAGAACTCAGATTCTTGTGATTTGAAAATGCAACTTGAAATCAGGTTTCCCATTTCCACTAACCACCAATCTGGTTTCCTCTTTTCGAGCCATCATTGTTCCATTTTCCATCAACCACAAAGCTTTTTACGCATTTTCAAACCATATTGTGATTGTCAATTCCTTAGAACTGATTTACCCAACCAGACTGACAATCAAGATATTTACATTTCAGTAAATTTGGTTGGATCATAGATACTCCACATTATCATACATCATACAAGGAAGATCTTAATACATGATGTTGTTTACAAAAACATAATATATATTTTCTTTTATCAAGTTTGTCTATTTTCATGTTAATCATTATTTAATAATGTACATTGTTAATGTTCTTAAATTTTCTGTACATGTGTTAAAATACAGAGAAGACCTCGTAAGTTGAAATAACTAGTGTCTAATCCTTTTGCTATTACACTTGGCAATAAAATATGTTTCAACTAAAATATCCTTAATTCTGAACAGAGTTTGAAAATTTTATTCATAGGCTGGTGAAATGGCAGTACAGATTTTGAAAAATTGTGCGAAAAACAGCAGTACAGGAGTTTGATCAGAGCCCTAACAGTACAGGGGTTTAATCAGAGCCCTAACAGAACAGGGGTTTGATCAGAGCCCTAACAGTACAGGGGTTTGATCAGAGCCCTAACAGTACAGGGGTTTGACCAGAGCTGTAACAGTACAGGGATTTGATCAGAGCCCTAACAGTACAGGGGTTTGATCAGAGCCCTAACAGAACAGCGATTTGATCAGAGCCCTAACAGTACAGGGGTTTGATCAGAGCCCTAACAGTACAGGGGTTTGATCAGAGCAATAACCAGGGGCATAGCAAGCCTAGCAGAAATGTGTAAGCCCAGACGAGGGGTCTGAATTGCATGATTTCAAAGATGTTTTGAATCGTTTTCCGAGACAGTTTTTTTTATTTATTTAACAACAAACTTCAACCCCTGATATTTATTTTCAACCTTAGTTTTGTAATTTTGTCCAACATACCCTATGCACGGATTTTTTTTATGTGTAAGCCCGGGCTTTTTCTTTCTATGGAAGCTACGCCCCTGATAACAGTACAGGGCTTTGATCAGAATTAAATATGGTTTTTAATGTAAATAATTTAATTTGATGTCTGATGATGTATGTCCACTTTGTTACCAATGTACACAGCATTTAATGTGAATACATTGCATGATTTTAATGCATGAAAAAATAAATCAAGCATTTATTTAGTACTTGGGAAATCCTTTGAAAAGAAATTTTGAACAATGAAATTTTCCAATTAATGATTTTTTTTCGATGTGTGTATACTTGGTTGTTATATTATTATCTACTGAGCATCTCTTGTCCAGACAAGTATATAAAATTGATTTTAAGGTCAAGTAAAAAAACAAAGGATGTAGATATACAGATCTATTATATCTAAGTCCATGAAAATACATACCATGTTGTACATAAAATATATTGAAAATATAGCTGTAGATATGATAGATAGTTCACTAAAACTGACCTTTGTCATATCCTAAAAAAATGAGAGAGAAAAACCTGTTCTTGAATGTACAATTGTCTCATTATAAATAAATAAAGTGTCATATTTTTGGTGATGAAATCCAAATTTATATTCTCTTTCACATTTTTATAATGATTCCATTTTGCTTTTAGATGATTTTAATTTTTACCTTTTAAAGTGTTTCATGTGCTTTAATACAATCATGTGTGTTTAAGTGATATAGGGGCTGCAATGGCCCAGTTAATTAGAGCATTGCTGAATATCTGAGGTGTGTGGGTCGATACTCTCTGGCACCTTAGGCAGTTCAGGGGGAGATAAATCCAACAAACAGAATGTGATGTGTTGTTTGTTTGTCCCTACAATGTATTCACTGGTTATTCAGGCACTAGATATATAAAATATGTTCCATTCGTGCATGGATTTCTCATTTTTTTTTTTTTTAGGTTGAAAGATGCATTTCCATAAACATTTGTACAAGGTAATCTCTCTCAATAATTCAATAATTATAATGCATTGGATGTCTTTTAATAGTCAATTATTGTAATTTGCATTAAAAAAAAACAACGAAAAAGAACGTGAAAATAAAAGTTTTTAAAAAAGTAGAAAATCTAAAAGCAAATGAAAATGAATTCAATGTTGAACACATACTTACGGTAAACATATAATTTCCATGTGTTCAAATTTTCATGAGATTTCTTTGAACATGACAGCTGTGAAAGAGGTTTGCAATTTCCTAAAAGAATAATGAATGTATTTTTTAGAGTGTCTCCCTCAAACTGGCATAAGTAGCAAGCATTCATGGAACTTTATGTTTGTCAACTGTTTTAAGATTTGTACAGAAGTAAAACATTGATGCTCATGGTATGCTCTGAATGTAATAAAAGTATGAAATTTCTTAACTATTCTTGTATCTTTTAAAAATGTTCACAGCAGTAGCTGGATGGCTATTATATGATACAATTAATGATTAGTATATCCACAACCCAGTTTATAAACAGACTCATGTTGTTCCTTGGCTGACGACAAGTTGGTGCCACACCACATACTCAGTAAACATTTTTGGTTTGATGACCATTTTACTTTGAGGACAATTTCATCTCAATGCAGTATAACTCACAGTCACCACCCTCAGAAAACATAAGACATGTATGATTGTAGATCATAGGTGAAATTAGTGTTTTGAGGGAACATCTGTGCATTTGTCGAGAAATGAATGCAGGCTGTTCTGTCAAAAAATATAAAATGTTACAAGACAATGATGAGCTTATAGTTCAGTAATTGCCAATAGTAATAGTCAAAAGTTCACTAAGAAAATGGAACACCAACAGGAAAAAAGTCAGGATGAAGCACTGGTACATGTGTATTACCATGGGGACAATAAAGCTTTTTTGGTGAATTAGGTCTCCTAAATGCCCCATTTGTAGGTTACATATATATCCTCATTTTCTAGAGGATGTTGCACATTTTGTCTCCTAGTGTAGTAGAATAAAGCAGGCCCTATTCTTGGAGTTTGGGCTCTTGGACATCTCTAACAGAAGAAATCAGTATCATGTACATGTGTTTATTTATAATATCCCAAACTATTAGATGACTTTGAGCATAAAACATAATTCACTTTGATCTTATGTTAACTCTTTGAATTTCAATTACAAAATTTGTTTAGCCTAAAAAATGACACATTACCTTGAACATGCATATCATATACTGCCACAATTTTTTACTGAGGTTGACCTAACTTCCACACTTAAAGTTTTTTTAAACCATTTCAACAGAATATACAATTATTCAAATGAATTTCTCAGTTTCCAAGGTATGCATTAACAAGATGGTCTCATGTGGAGGTCCTTGAGCATGCAAACAGGCTTTTGATGATTTTTGTGGCAATACCCTGTAGAAGGATCCTATAGGCCACTTCTGGGCACTTACATATTTAATAAAGAGGATCAGATATCAATATAACCATTACAGATGTCAGAAAATGAATTTCATCCCCCAAATGAATATTGAAATTTGATCAAATCTTCAATGTGCCTTCCTGAATGGAATCGCAGATTTGACATAACTGCTGTTCTCTACAGATAAAATTAAAAAAAAAAACTCTTTTGTCACACTTTTTATTCATATGGTAACCAGACCTTGTAAGTGACAATTTCATGGTTTTACCTTTGCCTTGATGATAGAACTGACCTTTCGTTGTCTTGGCTGACTGGTCAACTCTTTGACTAAATACAAGGTTAAATAAATGCATTAAGAAGTGATCTGGATGCTGAGAAGAGGTAAATACGTCTTTTAGGATTCATGTATTGTTATTCAAGACAGATTTTTATTTAACAAAAATGACTCTTGGGGAAAGAAAAAATTGAAGTTAGGATATTGATCGCATTTAATCTTGAAACAACATTGGCAAAACATATTTACCCAACATCTATATTTAGAGATCTTCAGATATAATTTGATCCCCGTGACGCAGAATATAGGTAAAGTGTCTTTATCACTAAATGGTGGGCTATTCAAATCGCCTCTGTTCGTGGTCATCCACCTGTAAACACTTTTTATTGCTATTTCTTGATGAATGTTTCTAAAATTTTGTCCCTAGTTGTGCCCTATAATTTTGTGTCTGATTAGAAACACAAAATGACTGACAGGTGGCCATCATGGATTTTTACCTTGAAGTTTGTTATCACTATTTCTTGAGAAGTATTGGATGGATCTCTCTCAAATTTCATATGTAGGTTTCCCTTGGTCCCTAGTTGTGGTTGCTTGATTATATAAGTGATCAGAAAAACAAAATGGCTGAAAGAAGGCAATCTTGTATTTCACCTAGTAAAGTTTACTATGGCTATTTTCTGAGAAGTAGCAGATGGATCTTACTCAAATTTCACACAGGTTCCCTTTTGTCCCTAGTTGTGCCTGTTTGATCTTGAAATGATCAGAAAAACAAAATGGCTAACAGGTGGACATCTTGGATTTAAAAAATGAAAGTGTGTTATCAATATTTCTTGAAAAGACACAGTCCTTGTTGTAGTACTGGATGGATATCTTTCAGATTTCATTATAAAGTTTCCCTTACATTCCTAGTTGTGCCCACTTTATTTTTGACTGATTTGAAAAATAAAATGGCTTCCAGACGACCATCTTGGATTTGGCAGTTAAAGATAATTATCGCTATTTCAGCAAATAAATGTTTAAATTGTTTATCATTAAGAGCAAAAACTGAGAAGAGAAAAGAATGGAAAATATAAACTTTTAAAGAACAAATGAAGATCAGACAATGGTGGATACCAAGACCCTCTGTGATCTCTTGTTTTGACAACCTGACAGCACTTACACTCCTTATAATACTAATTGAATATGTATCCAATAATTTCAAATTTTTGGGCTGTCAAATTATTCTTTAATTATTAAGAAAGAGTTGGTTTGATGCAGTTTTACAGATTGTTTGGGTTTACTATATCTAACTGTAAATTTGTATTAAGAGGGGTTACCACTTTGTGATTATTTTGAAACCAGAAAGACATTGAGTTTCTTGTCCTGTCATAAGCTCACTAGCCAATCAACAGAGACAAAATTAAATCCTTTTAAATACTCACTGGGCAGAATTTTCAACCGGTTATCAAAGTGAGAAAAGACCACTGTAATTACATGATGGTACTTTATTAGTTTGAATAGAAAATTGTTTTCTGCAGATGTTTATGTATGCTGATTCCAAAGTAAGTTGTTAGATTTTAGCTCTACTCAGCATCACAGTGAAAAGTCCAGTAGAACCGAATACATCACCATAAAGAAATAAATACAGCTGCACTAAGTTTTTTTTTTCAATTCACATTATGAATCTCTGTCACAGTTCAGCGACTAGCAGCCATGATACCTGATACACCTGAAAGAGTAAATACACAAACTTAGTAAATATACATCTATACAGACAACAGAAAAACCTCACTTTCCATACAAGTTAATACATTTGTTTCTGGGAAAGGTATTGGAAGATTTGCAAATTCTGTACTTCTCCTGAATACCTTAAATAAAAGTGGAGTTGATAAATCAAGATAATGTTTTGTCAATGTATGTATCTGATATAATCCTTTACTGAAAAACTAAGCTAAATGGTTCCTAAAAAGAAGATTTATGAAACACAAGACCCCTTTGACTGCAGTGAATGAAATTAATAAGCCTGATTGGATTTGTGGAATCTTCTAAAGATATTCATTAATAAGAGCCAGCTAAGGCTATTCCAGTAAAACATCTATTGGTAACTCATCGCTGGACTCCATCTGTTTAGTGGTACCACCAATAATAATAAACATTATTTATTTTACAACAATTGCGAAGTAAGTTTTTCCAACTTATATTTATAACTCTTGTTGGCTTGGATGGAAGCATGTGAGGGGTCTTACTGTTGGAGGAAACAGGAGTACCCTGGGAAAACCCACGTGGTTGGGAAGGTGACCCCATACCTTTCCACATCCATTCTGGGAATTGAACCCCGGACGGCTAGGTGAAAGGTGAGTGCATCACCACTGTGCCACCCAACCACCAATAGAATTTAATCAATAATCTGTTAAGACCTAACCAACAGGAATCCAAACCATGGACAGAAGTGATTTAGTTTGGAGTGGTGGGGTCAAGTAGATGTGTCACTGGAATAGCTTTCAGGTTCTTCCGGATGAGGTGCAAAATTTATTCTTCAGCGAAGATAGTCATCAAAATCAGTAATACAATCAACCCATTTTTTCTACCAAGTTAAGAATTTCTTAAAGTCCATGAAAATCTAAGACTTACTTTCAAATGTGATTTTTTCTGTGATGTTTTTTGTTTTGACATTTTCCTCTTGATTCAGGATGAATACATTGCCATCGTTTTGAAGAGTCCAGCCATATTTACTGATCCACTGTCGTACCTGGTCCTCTGTCAACAGAAATAAAATGACACCTGTCATGCATTTTGACAAAACACACAAAAAAAAAAAAAATCATCAATAACTTCTCACCACCAACTTAAATCATTTACCTTTCCTAAATAAGAGAAATATAGCTGCAGAGTCAACATTGCACAGAAACGATTTACCCCACCAAAATACATAACACTTACCACGGGAATACTCCACCAAAATACATAACACTTACCACGGGAATACTCCATCAAAATACATAACATTTACCACGGGAATACTCCACCAAAATACACAACATTTACCACGGGAATACTCCACCAAAATACATAACATTTACCACGGGAATACTCCATCAAAATGCATAACATTTACCACGGGAATACTCCACCAAAATACATAACACTTACCACGGGAATACTCCATCAAAATGCATAACATTTACCACGGGAATACTCCACCAAAATACACAACATTTACCACGGGAATACTCCACCAAAATACATAACATTTACCACGGGAATACTCCACCAAAATACATAACATTTACCACGGGAATACTCCACCAAAATACACAACATTTACCACGGGAATACTCCACCAAAATACATAACATTTACCACGGGAATACTCCACCAAAATACACAACATTTACCACGGGAATACTCCACCAAAATACATAACATTTACCACGGGAATACTCCACCAAAATACACAACATTTACCACGGGAATACTCCACCAAAATACACAACATTTACCACGGGAATACTCCACCAAAATACACAACATTTACCACGGGAATACTCCACCAAAATACACACCATTTACCACGGGAATACTCCACCAAAATACACAACATTTACCACGGGAATACTCCACCAAAATACACACCATTTACCACGGGAATACTCCACCAAAATACACAACATTTACCACGGGAATACTCCACCAAAATACACAACATTTACCACGGGAATACTCCACCAAAATACACAACATTTACCACGGGAATACTCCACCAAAATACACAACACATGCCACGGGAATACTCCACCAAAATACACACCATTTACCACGGGAATACTCCACCAAAATACACAACACATGCCACGGGAATACTCCACCAAAATACACACCATTTACCACGGGAATACTCCACCAAAATACACAACATTTACCACGGGAATACTCCACCAAAATACACAACATTTACCACGGGAATACTCCACCAAAATACACAACACTTACCACGGGAATACTCCACCAAAATACACAACACTTACCACGGGAATACTCCACCAAAATACATAACATTTACCACGGGAATACTCCACCAAAATACATAACATTTACCACGGGAATACTCCACCAAAATACATACCATTTACCATGTGAATACTCCACCAAAATACATACCATTTACCACGGGAATACTCCACCAAAATACATAACATTTACCACGGTAATACTCCATCAAAATACATAACACTTACCACGGGAATACTCCACCAAAATACACAACATTTACCACGGGAATACTCCACCAAAATACATAACATTTACCACGAGAATACTCCACCAAAATACATAACATTTACCACGGGAATACTCCACCAAAATACATACCATTTACCATGTGAATACTCCACCAAAATACATACCATTTACCACGGGAATACTCCACCAAAATACATACCATTTACCACGGGAATACTCCACCAAAATACATAACACATGCCACGGGAATACTCCATCAAAATACATAACATTTACCTTGGGAAAGTAAGTGTTTGTAAAGTTTCTGGTTTGAATAGGCTGTCAGACTATTTCACCTCATCTCCTTTGTGTTAAATCCACACACATTTTCTCTACTTTAGATATCACAAACCTCCTAAACTCCTTCTGAAGTACCAATGAACATATAGTCTTCAGACTGTAAATTTGAAATTTACCTTAAAAAAAAACAGTTGTGTTCAGAATTATCTGCCCTTTGTGGAGTGATCACTACAGATAACTACTGACCTGTGACATCACCTAACAGCTCCATTAGCGTGTGAACTGGTATCGTCTGATAGGTTGCTCCGATCACATGACACACAACTGTAACATCAAAACAAATCCTATTGTACTGTTGGTACTGTCCTTCCATCATTAAAGTCATTAAGCACATCAGACTGTCATATGCAAAATGTTTTTCCTATATTTTGAGAGTATCAGAGATAAAATATTTTGCTACTGAGATTTCAATGTAATAGAAACTTGAATGTTGCAGAGTATTGATTTTATTTATAAGACAGAGGATCCCCATCAAATCTGCCTAATATCAATAGCCGCATCTGAGATGTTTATAATGAATATTTTAATAATGAAGACTTATGACATATATACAGAACATACACTTCAGTAAGTTATATAATATTTATCCTAATAAGCATAACTTTGATAAAATATTTTTAAAAATGAAATCTATGTATAAAAAGCATGACACAAGCATGTTACTTATCATTCTTTAGAATACATGTCTGTTTATTCTGTACTTACATTTCCGTATTGAATCATCAAAGCCTTTTATGTTTGAGGTTACTAAAGGGTTGGTTTTTAACTCTTTCTGTAATAAATAAACAAATCTACTATTTTTTCTGTATATAAATAATTATAAGAAGTAAATTCATCAATTATGGTAAACAAGAGGACCATGGGTCTTCACTGTCATGTAAAGATTCTATATATGATACAGCAGCTACAGTTTTACGAGTAAAGGCAAACGAGGCCCAAAATCGCTGACCTGTTTTATATCTGTTGGATAATCTTTAATCGTGAAATATTATAAGTTATTACAATATTGTAAGCCCTGACAAACATCTGTTTGTTTACTTACCCAGAATTCATGAAATTGGCAGGTTTCCAACAGATCTGCTAAATGTATGACGGGGATGATAGCTTCTTCATCATGCTGTAAATAGGAAATTTACGTCAACTTCAAATAACTAATATACATTCTGAGGTCAATGACACCTGTAAACAAAAAGACTGACATCTGACTGATGTTGTGTAACACATAAAAAAATGTTCACTCCAGAAGCTCTAGTTTACACTGGCAAAGGTGCTGTACACAAGTATGCTGTCAGTGTAATTAACTTTTTTTCCCTACATTACAAACACAATTCAATATCTTAAACAAATTCTTTATAGACATTTAAACATAATACAGTGGAAGGTGGGTGAGAGTACTGGGTCCTTACAGAGAGAAAGGTCTGTGTCTGGAAGGTTGGTGAGAGTACTGGGTCTTTACAGAGAGAAAAGTCTGTGTCTGGAAGGTTGGTGAGAGTACTGGGTCTTTACAGAGAGAAAAGTCTGTTTTCGAAGGTTGGTGAGAGTACTGGGCCTTTACAGAGAGAAAAGTCTGTGTATGGAAGGTTGATGAGAGTACTTGGCCTTTACAGAGAGAAAGGTTTGTGTTTGGAAGGTCGGTGAGAGTACTGGGCCTTTACAGAGAGAAAAGTCTGTGTTTGGAAGGTTGGCAGTGTTTCAGATTGGGCCCAGCCATCGGCCAATGGCCGAAAAAAATGAAAATGGCCGAAAAAAAAAGGAATTTGGGACATAAAGGCTGGAAGTATTTCAGGTTTTCAGACTAAATGGCCGATAAATTTTCCATTGAATAAGACGATAAATTTCAGCAATTAATCGGTTCGTCAAAATACTCTCATTCAAGGCCTAACGAACACAGTTCGACTGGATTCCGACCATCTATTCTCTGAATGCATGTCGTGGAAGCGCTTCTTAATCTTTCACTCAGAACACCTCGCCTAACCCTTCCAACGTAGTTTCTAAAGAAAACGACGAATGGTATTCCGAACGTTTCTATCGCTCAGACGCTTAAAATAAAAACAACATGGCGCCGAAGAAACGAAAGTACATTGAAGAGGGCCAAAAAACGTTATTTTCTTGCGGTGTTATTAGACCAACACCGGAACAGGACGAAACAATTATAATTACCAAACAATAAGAAAATAAAACCACAACAGCCAGAAAATTTCAGCAAAAATGGTTACAACAATTTAAATGGCTGATGTACTCTACTTCTGTGACTGTCTTGTGCATAAAAATAAATGTTTATCGTTTGACTGTGGCCTAAATGTTTTTGTTCTTTCAGACAAAATGGCCTTAGAAAATTTCAGTCTTTAGGACATCTGTCCTAAAGAAAGCTGGGCCAATCTGAATCACTGGGTTGGTGAGAGTACTGGGCCTTTACAGAGAGAAAAGTCTGTGTCTGGAAGGTTGGTGACAGTACTGGGCCTTTACAGAGAGAAAAGTCTGTGTCTGGAAGGTTGGTGACAGTACTGGGTCTTTACAGAGAGAAAAGTCTGTGTCTGGAAGGTTGATGAGAGTACTTGGCCTATACTGAGAGAAAAGTCTTCTTTTGGAAGGTTGGTGAGAGTACTTGGTCTATACAGAGAGAAAAGTCTGTGTTTGGAAGGTTGGTGACAGTACTGGGTCTTTACAGAGAGAAAAGTCTGTGTCTGGAAGGTTGATGAGAGTACTTGGCCTATACTGAGAGAAAAGTCTGTTTTGGAAGGTTGGTGACAGTACTGGGTCTTTACAGAGAGAAAAGTCTGTGTCTGGAAGGTTGATGAGAGTACTTGGCCTATACTGAGAGAAAAGTCTGTGTCTGGAAGGTTGGTGAGAGTTCTGGGTCTTTACAGAGAGAAAAGTCTGTGTATGGAAGGTTGGTGAGAGTACTGGGCCTTTACAGAGAGAAAAGTCTGTGTTTGGAAGGTTGGTGAGAGTACTGGGTCTTTACAGAGAGAAAAGTCTGTGTTTGGAAGGTTGGTGAGAGTACTGGGTCTTTACAGAGAGAAAAGTCTGTGTCTGGAAGGTTGGTGACAGTACTGGGTCTTTACAGAGAGAAAAGTCTGTGTTTGGAAGGTTGGTGAGAGTTCTGGGCCTTTACAGAGAGAAAAGTCTTGTGTTTGAAAGGTTGGTAAGAGTACTGAACCTTTACAGAGAGAAAGGTCTGTGTCTGGAAGGTTGGTGACAGTACTGGGCCTTTACAGAGAGAAAAGTTTGTGTCTGGAAGCTTGTTGAGAGTACTTGGCCTTTACAGAGAGAAAAGTTTGTGTCTGGAAGGTTTGTAAGAGTACTGGGCCTTTACAGAGAGAAAAGTCTGTGTCTGGAAGCTTGTTGAGAGTACTTGGCCTTTACAGAGAGAAAAGTTTGTGTCTGGAAGGTTGGTGAGAGTTCTGGGCCTTTACAGAGAGAAAAGTCTGTGTTTGGAAGGTTGATGAGAGTACTTGGCCTATACTGAGAGAAAAGTCTGTTTTGGAAGGTTGGTGAGAGTACTTGGCCTTTACAGAGAGAAAAGTCTTGTGTTTTGACGGTTGGTAAGAGTACTAGGCATACCTTTGATGACTCTATCAGACATTTACATAAAGTAAAGTCTGTGTGTGGGAGGTTGGTGAGAGCTTTCAACAAGATCTGTGCAGCCACAGCAGGTTGGTAGTGATTAGGGTTGAACTGGTATCTGTTAAAAAGGAAACATAATCTGTCAGCATAAACTGTACACTTAAATGTTCCACTCACAATAAATATTCCTTCAGCAAAATGATAAATGAGTGTTGCTTCATCTCGCAGTTTAAAAAAATGAACTTTTACATTAAATCACAGCACTTAGAAATAAATATATCAAGTTCTTTTAAGATTGTTGAATTTCAATCTATAAAAAAGAAAGGTAGTATGGGACTATAAGTACAAATCTAAGATTTAGACCTCTGCACAAGAATTAGTCACAACTGTAATTACTTTGCATCACAGAGTTTAATCTGTGACAGCTCAAAAAATGTTCACATTACCATAAAACTGGCATATCGGGCTCTATTGGGCTTTTGACTCATGGGCCTATTGCTGAATATGGTAGGTTTACTCATTCATAAACTTCACTGATTGCTATTGATGTGAACATAAGATGTGTTGTTATAATATTTCACCAGAAATGTAGTTTAAAAACTTACAATTTAAGTACAGCAAGGTTAGCCTCCAGGTCGTAGGTATTTTCCTGTGCTTGTGCTGCTATATATTTCTCTAGAGTTTGTAGATTTTCTGGATTGTATCTGAAAATTATAAATAGAACATATAGATGTTATAATCTTAAGTAAGCAGTGTTCCCTCTTAGTTAACAACACTAGACTTTCAACACTGGTCAGATATTTTTAGAGATAAAGTGACATTAAAATCTGGAGCCAGGTTAGTCTCATCATCCATACATGATTTTAATTTGAACTTGGTTGCGGTTCACCAAGACAAAAAATACCCTTCTTGAAATAGATTCTGAGGAAAATGAGAGGCTAAATCCTGATTATCAAATGACAATAATGTAAAATGTTTGTGCTGCACAATCAATCAGGGACATCCCCTGTATCTAAGTTCAAACACAGGTCATAGAAAATGTTGTACTTGATTGTATTTTATATTTCTTGTCTTCAGAAGAAAAGCACTAAACCAGACTAACATGCATATTTTCTTAGCCAGGAGTACCTAACATCACTATGATGCATTGTTTTTAACAGTGTAAGCTTAAATGATCCCACTCAATGTTCATTTTAAATATCAACAAAGACAGAATTAGTGTTTCCAAATATTAACTCAATGAGACACAAGTTACAACAAAGGTAAATCTATTAGGAATAAACATTGTCACTAGCAACACCCCTGTATAGTGATGATGCACTTTCTGTTGCAAATGTTTAGAAGAACAGGTTTCTCCTTCAAATTATCCCATATTTGAGCAGGAATGTATAATACAGAGGGATAAGAAATTTATTATTTATTTCCATGAGTCCTTTTTAAAATTTAATGCTAAAAAAACCGGTTCCTAAATAGAGAATTTAAGTATATCCTGAAATTCTATGAGTCATGTAATTATTTCAAACGCAGCAAGACTAGGTATATTAATAGAGGGCAGAGCCCTCTCCCTGACCCGAAGCGAGAACAAAGCTCTCCCTATGGGTAACACCTATACAAGCACTGAACAGTACTAAATTCCTTTACTATCCATGGGATTTCATTTTCGTGGTCCGGTGGAAACATTGTCATGGATTCATATGCAAGGTCGCTGCCACAGGGTTTTAGGAGGCTGGCCTGCCCTGTACATGTAGTCGTGTACGGAACATTATTACGGACTGGATTGGTGTAGGCGGCCAAATGATCAAAGTAGCCGGTCAAATTGGCCGGCAACCGGCTCTTATGGAAAACCCTGCTGCCATATTGAATCTCGAAGAATATCTCCCAGCAAACCTTACGTTTATTTTTAATTGCAAAATGCAAATATGCATGTTCATTTACAAGCTCAAAATACACTCATATCGGCATATCGCACTAACTTTGCGTTTTTCTTTCAACATTACTATGACCGGTCAAAATACACATCGTCAATTCGACTGTTAAAAATCGGAATTTCTTTGGTACAACCTATGATTGTACATAGGGATATATGCTCCGCCCTCACTAACGGCTGTGCCGTAAAGCATAGTATAACAGATAGGCCTATATGAGGGCAATCCTGATTTAAGGGAGGCAACTCGATAAGAAACCGTTCACAAATATTTCATGATAAAAAAACTTTAAATGTCGGTACTTTTGTCTACTAAAGCTAAATTTAAAATCGGTCATATTCTTTTAATAGCCGAATTGAGTACATCAGAAATGTGTATGCGCTTTGATTTAATAGAATGAACACGAGACAAACAAATAAAAACGTCAAGATGGAGTCATAAATATTTACTGATGTAAGGGCGATATCAGCAGATACTTATTGGATAGTATATTACTCTTATCATTGATGGTGATGTTGTTGTTAAAACATTCAATGTGCACATACTTACCTATCAATGCCTTTCAATAAGGCCGCTACATTTGCTCTCATCGCTTCGGCCATTTTCACGTGTGTGTAAAATTCTACTTCCGGATGGAGTCACTAGATAGAGGCTAAAGTCAGGAATACACTTGAGCATGCATTCGGGCCACTCTCCGGGCTTTAACCCGATTTAAACGGTTAAAATGATCGGAAATCATCTCACCATACACAAACGCACATATACCGGATAATTGAACTGGTATGATGTTTTCAGTTTCAGAATTTCCTGTCCAGCTCAAAACAATAACCTAAGAATAAGATATCATCCATTTTACTCAAATATTATTACATGGAAATGATGTGAGTAAACCGACCCTGCTATATCCAGCAAGTTAGATGTGGACAGGTACGGCTTGGGCCGTCAATCTGCACGTGCCGAATATTCAGCATTCCTGTCTCGGTTCCGATTCGCACCCGGCATTTTTTCTTTTGAGTTCCATCAGTGTAACCATTTCAACCTGTCAGCAAAAATGACGAAAAACACACAAACAATCAAATATTGAGTTTGATCGATATGGAGGAAATGTCATGCTGTTTTGCTTTTGAAAACATGTTTCTATGCATGAAATCTCTGAATTCTTGATAATTTCCGAAGAAAATCTTAAGCTCCAATAATCTATTTTGAGTAAAATCTGAAATTTAATATGGTTATCAGTCGCCATTTTAGTATCGAACATATTGTTACAAAAGGAAAATAAAAATCCACAAGACTCTCCAACAAGTATAATATTAAATTTTGATTTTGATTTTTAACCTGATTCGAGGGTCGGATAAAATCTTTACACTAGTACTACCCCAACACACGGACGTGGCGTTATTGTTTTAGAGTTGCGTCCCTTCGTTCCTTTCCGCCATCTATCAACAAGATGACGGGTCCCGGTGAGCCAGCGAAATCACTTCCCCTACCTAGTGGGCCAGCGTCGTTGTGCTTCGACAAGGATGTGTTCATGAAAGTAAGTTTGCTGCTGATACATATATTACATCGTTGGGAACGCACTTGATTTCCAGCGTGTGACATCTGGCAAAGTGGTAACATAACCGAAACGACCCAATTCTGGCTACGGATTTAAAACCCTCTCTCCTTGCTGTCAACTCATTGATTTGTTTTAATAATACAGTACTGTTTATACTACAATGTAAACTATCCTTTTTAATTTTGACATTCGATAGTCCATAGATAACCATATACAGAACAATGATATTTTGTTTAAAATGTTTCCTATGGCTATGCTATATTCATTTGTTGATTGAAGGACACGTTTGATGTCGACACATTTGTGATGGAGTGCCGACGACGTGTTCCGCTGGAGACTCTGAGGGATGATCTCTCCACCTACCTCAAGATTCTGAGGAGTGCAATGATTGAACTTATCAACAAAGACTACGCAGACTTTGTCAACCTCTCCACTAACTTGGTATACAATATAACGACATCACATGTATAATCTACTACCTGCAATGCTACTTGATATTGACGAACGATATAAAGTCCTGTCTCCTTCTATTCAACTTTCCCAATGGGGAGCACCTGGCAACATTTTGCACTCTTAAAAGATATATTCGGGAAGATTTGACTGGTTTGATCACAGCTGGCAAACAGTTTGAATTGCAATTAATCATAATAAATATGTATTTTGGGGACCTTTGCAAGAACTAATTTAGAACATCAGTGTTTTTTAACTTAGATATTTGAGTCCTGGGCTCATGATTTTCTGGTGGGACTCAAATTTTTGGGCTTGATGTTATGGACTTGCCTGAAAAAAATCATACAAAAGTTACTGGAACATCCTTTTATGAATATAAATGATTCTAGAATATTCAAACATCCTTTATTAAATTATGAACAATTTCTTGGGAAACTATCATTGTATGATATTAATGACAATAAAGATATGTTATTTAACTTTCTAGGTTGGGATGGACAAAGCTATCGGCAATTTAACAACACCTTTAAATGAATTGAAGGATGAAGTCTTGGTGAGTGATTTTTCATTTTTGTGGAAATTATTTCTCTTATGAATTGTATTGAAATAATTGCTGTAACTGCATTAAGTACTTACACAAACATTAAATGATGGTGAAACCTTGTCTGCTGATAGTTTATCCCTTAATTAATCACTTCTTAATCAACAAACTTTTCAATATCAACTAAATAATAGCCAGATAACAGTTAAGCTCGATTTAGGTACTTGTGGATTTTGTGAACAAATTTTACTGCAGAAGCAAGTGTGAACAAAAATGCATGTTTTTGTAATACCACAAAATTTAAACCCCTTTGGAAATAAATGATTTCACAGAAACTCTCTCTCTGTAATTTTATTAATTTGACTATGTTGTGACCTTGAAGTTAACCAATTAATTGTTGTTTAGATTTAAGCCTCACTTATGTTGATGATAAGTTTTCAAAGATTGTATTCATATTTACATTTTTTTTTTCCAAAGACTGTGAAAATGGCCATGGACCAAGCTATCTATGCAGTAGAACAGAAACTGAAGCAGCGAGAACAGATCAGACATAAAAAAGTAAAAATTAAAATACTTTAAATTATAAATAGTCTTTTGGATTTATTAATTTAAAATAAAGATGCCATTCACTTCGTTTCAGGATTTCCAAAGCTGGTAAAAGTTTTGACTGCTGTGATCTGAAAATGTCATCAGAACATATATACATTATGTAATATCAGAAAATGAATCTCAGAAACAAATACCAGTGTTTATTTTTGTCTGATAGTAAGAAATCGTTATGCCTGTATCACACCAGAGTGGACTTACTTCAGTTGATATACATATTCTGAAAGTCAAACTTTTTTCTTCATCTCAGGCATGTCTCCAGAGGCTGATGAATATTGTACAGTCAGTAGAGAAAATAGAGAGACTTCTCGGGATACAGAGTGGAGAAGGAGGGGAGACAATTCAGACGTAAGTTGCTCATTAATAGCAGTTGGTTCTTTTTATCAGTTTTACCAGAAGGAACATAGTTGCTTGTTCATGAAATAAGGATGGACCTACTCTTCTAAATTTGCTTTCTGTGAAGGCTCAGCTTAGCCTTTTGAGGCATGTATCCATACTTGCAAGTCTGTCACAATTTATGTCTGAAATGTTAGTTACTTTGCATAACAAACAGGTCCCTGGTTTACATGACTTATTTACAGATACTCTCTTTCTAATATTATACATCTTTTGGCATATATTCTTGTAGGAAGTCATGGAAATGCAGGTTTTATCAAATATATTTGCACAATATTTTTTTTGATCTCCATGTTTATCAGTTTCACAAGTTTTGCTCGACAGCTCGCTGAGGTAGTAATCTTTCATTTTTTTTTTATATTGTAATTTTTGTGTATTTCTATAAAGGGAAAAATGTGACAGTCAAGACGTATTACATGTTTATTAAATGCCCATTTCAATAAATAATTTGTTATTGTGTCACTGACAGCCAGCTGAATGGTCCATTAATAGAAAGAGTGGCAAATGAGTTCAACAAACTTCAGTTTTACGTTATGAAGAGTACAGGGCTCCCTCTAGTGGAGCAAATACGACCAGTAAGTAATTATGATATTTACCTGAAATGTGTGTGAAACTACTTTATCTTTTGAATATGTGTAGGCTAGGAAAAATGTAACAGTGTCAAAGGAAAAACAAGCATGTTTTCAAAAGATTTGAAAAAAACCTCCTTTATACTTTGCATAATATTTATCAGTGAACTAAACCTATCTTCAGTATATATGAAGTTTAGAATTTAGGTAATAAAACTTACTGCAACTGCAAATTAACAAAATTGAGTCTGAAGATCAGTTTTGTTGAAGAAACTGAACTCTTGATGTTATGACATGAAACATGAAATTAGGAAATAGTCAGATATTGAGCAACATTCCTAAATTTTTTTATTGAATTCCATGGTATACTTTTTATTAAAAATACATATATTTGTTTTACAGAGAATAGTAAATATTACGAGCACTTTACAAGTAAGTCTGGAGGGTCATTTCCTGGAGGGACTGGATACTGGAAACACTGAAATACTCCAGCAATGTCTCCGGACTTACGCCCTCATAGACAAGATTCAGGATGTAGAAAATCTGTTCCGACAGGAGAAGGTCCGCCCCTACATGGAGGAGGTATGTTACTACAGACAAAAAGTTGCCTAAAGCTTGTGGAGTGAAGTAATGATAAAGCATGGCTTCAGATATTGATTAAAAAAAACATGAAAATCAAGCCCCAAGAAAAATATGTGTGATTGTACCTGACATTGGAAGTTTTACATTATCAGCAAACAGAAATGTAGATAAACAGGAATGACTATCTGAAGTTAATTGAAATGTGATCATATATAAAAACAATTGTGTACAAAATTTTATATCCCAAGTCAATATGATAGCGTCCTATGAAATTTTTACAGATATGTTTGATTTAAATGTGATGTTCAAGGTGATCAGCGAACAGAATGTGAAATCCTCAGGTGGCCGTCCAGGTCTCAAAGGCATGTATCAGCAGATCCTGGACTTTGTACCGCAGCACTGTGGTATTCTCAGGGAAGTTACCACAGGGGGTCGCATGGGGTAAGTCAGATATTGATATTATATCAAGATGATTTGAATTAAAACTCTCTTTTAAAAGGTAATACTAAATATATGTGACTTTGTGAATGTTCACAGTTTTTTGTATCTGAAAGTAAATTTTTTATTTTTTTGTGACTTTTAGAAATGTTTAGTTCATGTATTTAGTACCATCAAAATTTCCTTTAAATTAGTATCAGTTTGGAATAAAAATATTTGAAACAAAATGGAATGCTTTGAAATAGATAAATTTATTTTCTGGCATTGAAAGATGGGTCAGTACTGATGTTCAGTTGACTTAAGGCTGTATGCAGCATTACTCTAACCCGAATCAAACTCTAATCCAAAAGAGTTGTACACTAAGAAACATCTAAAGTTTGTTTGTGTAATATGTTTGTTGTTTACTTTATTTTGTGCTTTCAAGGATGGATCACCAATGGTAGGTATTGTAAAGCCAAAACAAAACATTTACAGGGTTTCAGATTTGAGGTCAAAGTTCAAGTTCAACATTTTTAAATTGTACAAAATGAACTTGTACTCAAAGTACATGTATAGAATCATAGACAGTATTTTTAAAAGGCTGACTTTTTGAATTTCAGTATTGCTCTGACAAACACAAATGGTGTAAAGATTATTTCTTAGGATCGTTGAGATGGAAAACGTTGTCAGTGTTATCTAGAATGAATGGCACCACAGTCAGGAAAATTGCTAGGAATGGATTGGTTGTTCTCATGGTGACATACTCTAATATGATATATTTGAGAATTGAATTTCAAGTATCTCAAACATGTATACATGTATCTATTCGTATTTTAACGTCTTGTGAATTTTTCTTATCTCTGTTTAATTATCAATCATTCTTATTACTTTTAGTCTTGTAAGCATATGCTCACAAAATAGGATAATATAGAGTGAGAATTTAGTGATGCATTCTGAAAGTTGTATATGTAATCTGGCTGCATATAACACACCACCATAAAACTTAGCCCATGCATTTGATTTGAACACATATATATCTAACCTTCAAATGTCTGCATTACAGTGCCATGGAAAGTGTGCGAGGTTATGACTTCATGGTCAATGCTGTGTGGCCAGAGGTGGTCACTAATATTGAAGCTCGGACACCGTCCATTTTCGCACCTGGGAATCCTAATACATTCCATGAGGTAGTTATAACCTGTAGATACATTTGTTTGTATGTATAGTCAAAGGGAAACAATTCAAATGCTAGTCTGTCAGAAGTTTGGCTTGAAAATATTAGAAATTTTCACTTTTCTCAGGTAGTACATCTATAGACCTTAAGCAAGTTATTGTAGACTCTTGCTAAGTAATTTTAGTACTGAGAATGTAAAATTAAAATAAAACTTTTTCTAATGTAAATTTTTTAAAATAAAAAAAGGTGAAATAAGATCCCAACATACTGGCAAATCTATTTCACACAATGTTGTTTATTTCTTTGGTCATCAGAAATTTCTGATCAGTATGAAGTTCTTGGATGACTTTGAAGCTTTGTGTGGATCTCAGGCCAGTGTACGGAGACTACGAGAACATCCAAGTTACCACATCTTTATGAACAAGTGGAGTTTACCAGTGTACTATCAGATCAGGTAAACTTCTGTCAAATCTGTCAGAGCCGTCCACCTAGATAAAGCATACCAAATATGGCCAGTATCTACCAGATTATGTAGTTTATTATAATTATTACTATCTTAATGGCCTGTCAACAGATGAAAGGTATTTAGGGCCATCAACTGTTGAAACACACAGCAATCCAAAATGAAATAACAACAAACAAACTAAAAGGTAAAAGATAAATGCTGAAAATTTTAAATGGTTAAATTATCACAAAAGATTGAAATAGTAAACCATATTCTATAATATAGACCAACATCTTTCAGACAACCAAGAATTTTATAAATCTCAACAGTTTCAAAAAGAGTCTTTAGATTTGTAATGTTACGATAATTTTTTTTGCGAGTAGACAAAATGTCAAAGCAGTCCAGTAAAAAGTGTTTAACAGTCTGCTTTGACCTTCTGTGATCTGCCAAATCATTAAATAGCTTCCTAATGTGTTACCTATCCAAGGTAATGATACAAAATAATAAGGGTAGATATGATCATAGAAGACAAGATAATTGATGTATTTATCCTGTAATAAGCCCATTTATGTATATTTCTGTACACTAAAGTAATAAACCCACCCTATTAATATCTACCTAACAGGCTAGGACCTTTGAAATGTATCATGGATCTGTAATATAAGTTTGTGTAAATCTTCGTGTTTATCCTGGTGGTTTACAGATTCCAGGAAATAGCTGGTGCACTGGAGACCTCACTTTGTACTGCCTTCAATCACTCTGCTGGTAAGTTTTTCATAAAGATGTGCCTGGTACATCTGAACAAGTGATAGCTGGTGATATTGAATTTGTTTCTTTTAAAATGCTGTCAATTTCTACATGACTCAGTATTAATACCGTATCTGACCTAATAAACAAACCTCCACATTTTAGCTGAGATAAAAGAAGGTACTTGTATAGTGATATAAGCCTGCTTTAAGATGACTCAGGTTACTTTGTTAGCTGATCGGATTGAATTTGTGTTTTTGATTCTGAAAAGTCATGTCTGATCAAATTTTCTTTTGTCAACTTCAGCAAAAATCAAATTCAAACATTGAATAGCTTCAAAACTAAGTTGTGTTACAATATGCATCATTTTCAAGAAAGCTCTTGAATTGTTCTTTTTCCCCTCCAGACCAAACATTGTTCCACCTGAATGTGACCTTGATGTTATGGCGCTGCATTAGTCGGTGCTGGGGTGATGATGTGTACCTTGCTCCGCTCTGTCACAAACTCTGGAAGTTATCACTACAGCTCATCAGTCGCTATTCTACCTGGCTGGAGGAGTGCTATAGACAGGAGGTATACACTTACAACATCTCAATCAGGAGTCACAATATCAGCATGATTTGTCTGCTGTCATAATGTGACATCACTGCATGAGCAGATTTGGATGACTGTGTATTTGTTTTTGTTTCAGGGAAAAGAATAAATATTTAGTTTATATAGAGGCTATGCAAAGGACAGATAAATAAAAACTTGTTGTGTTTTTCATTTCCAAACAAGTATATTCATTGTAACAGTAAGACCCATTTCAATTACATGTTTTGTTGGTCTGATTCTTTCTTTATATTAAGAATTAAATGATAAATGTTGATAAACAACTTGTCACATCTGTACGACACAGCAATATTTGAAGGACTTTTTTTTCAATCAATAACCCCTTTTCCAAACTTTTGATAAGTCCCATTACTATGAGATAAAGTGGATAAGTCCCACAGGAAAGGTCCAGGACTCCTTAGTCACTGCCAGATAAGACAGTTTGACCCAAAAATTGTTTTTATCTAAAACTCCTTATTAAATCTAGTATTTCATAGTAAATACTGGGATTAAAAGAATATTGATAAATTGACAATTTGTTCATTGAAAACTCCAGTCCATTAAAGTGTGTTTGGCAGGAATGATCATTTCATTAATTTAAAAATAATTGCACAATAGATTTTAATCTCCTTTCTTCCCATTAGATTCTCCATAGTCAGGATTATTGGCCAAAATGTATTTACAAAAACACATCCTTATTTTATAGATTGAAAAGAAATCCTCAGAGACAGAAACCCCAAAAATGACAACATCGGTGTCCATGCCTGTACTACCTTCCACAGACCGAAACAACGGAACACTCGATGCAAACGGTACAAGTGAAGGGCAGACAACTCCAGCTAATCAACCCGTTACTCTTGGACAAATTCTATGCCTGTTATCCGATGTAGAGAAATTCTCACAACAGGTAAACTAAATTGTGTCAACCTAAAAGACATGTGATTAGTATTGAGTCTGTAAAGTTAGTCTAAGCAATCTTGATTTTATGAAATTGATATGGGACCCATGTAATGTTCTTTTGGATGGACTTACTGGCCCTTGATCCATTCTTGTCTGTGGTGCACAGACACTGAAGCCAGGTTATTTTATATCAAACTTGCACATTTTTGTCAGCTGACATTTTCATACCTGTTCAGTGAGGATAGTATTTTGTGTTTTACTTTGCGTGTTTGCCTTGTGCTATATAAAAAAACATGTAGTACATGAATATGATATCAGTCTTTAACATGAACTGACACAAAAATAGATATGAAATAGATTACATCATCTTTAAAATGAAATCAAGTCACAAAAGGAAGAAGTTTTATAATGAAAAGAATTAAAAGCACCTAGTTTATTTTATCCTGGTGTTACAGTAATGCTTTTTATTACAATGTCACAAATGAACAATTGTTGTTTTGGATTGGAGTGAAAGTGTGGAACTCTTTTAAAAATGAAATTCTTGAGAGTTGGGTAACATAAAGTCTTCATTTAATCAACAGTAAAGAAATTGTAAATAAATAAGTGATATTTATTGTCTTTGTTTCAATTACAGGTATCTGGTTTGTTTGAGGAGACGATAAAACCAAAGATAGCTGCTGCAGGTTTTGAAAACACAGATAATTTAAAGGGTATGTTTGCATACACATCTCACTTTTGTAAGTTTTATTATGATAATTTCTAGATTTAAATTTCTTCAAAACAGAAAAGGAATTAGTAACAACTGTAAAATAAAGAGAAAATATCAACAATAACCAAGTTTGTGATATGTGATTAGAATGGATGCGTGCCACTTTTGACCTTTGACATGTACTGTAAATCTGTGTGACCTGTACTGTTAATATCTGACCTTTTGACCTATTACTGGTACACAAAATTTCGATCTCTGTGACTTCCTGATCTTTGACCTGTTGTGCTGTATATCTTTTTAACTTTATGACCAATAATCTGTACTCTAAACATCTTTGACCTATCTGTACAGTACGTATCTGTGACTTGTTGACCTTTGACCTGAAATGGACCTTTGACCTGTACTGATTTATGTGATATGGTGACCTTAGATGTGTGGTATAGATCTCTGCGACCTTCTTACCTTTGGTCTGTACTGCAGGTATCTGTGACTTCTTGACCTGTGACCAGTACTGAAGATATATATATATATATATATATAAATAAAAATGATTTTTGACAAAAGAAGAAAGACGTTACATTTTGCACTAGCGCTTTCACTGTATTAGATCTTCAGGTGCATAGTAACTGTACATAATGGTGTGGCGTCACAACATGTTATCTGTTGATGACGTCATAATATAAAAGGGGCATAATTATATTTTGCAAACTTTACAATGCGGTTAAACATTAATATTCAAGTCTGGTTTTAAAATGTATTGACATCATCAATAGATAACATGTTGTGACGCCACACCATTATGTACAGTTACTATGCACCTGAAGATCTAATACAGTGAAAGCACTAGTGCAAAATGTAACGTCTTTCTTCTTTTGTCAAAAATCATTTTTATTTATAATTTACTTGCATCTCGTCAAATCAAGTTTTTTCTCTATATATATATGATATGATGTGTGAACTGTTGTCCTATGACCTGTTGTCTCTGTGACCTGACATGTATGACTTATTGATCTTTGACATATTGATTTTTGTGACCTTTTCACCTTTGACCTGTACATGATTAAGTTTTGTGGTATATAGACAGTATACAAGAATGCAGTAACAGCCTGGTGAATAAACTGCCACGCTATCGTGACTTCATTGTGGAGGAAATCAGCTGCCAGTGCTCCGTACACCTCAAACAGGTCAACGACGTCCCACGTCTTTATCGCCGGACAAACAGGGAGGTAGGTGGCACAGAAATAGGATTCTGTGATAGAGACATTCGTTTTGTTTACACCTGATCACAAAGAGGTCTTTGTGTATGTGACTTTTCCTGAGGCTAACAACACTAAGATACACATAATCTACTGTCTTAACTATAGACATTTCATGATGAAAAATATTGAATATGTGCATTCTTTAAAGTTTCATATCTCTGTTTATTTATCTACTTCTTAAGTCAGTAAATATGTATTGATTACTAGTTTATTCACAGTGTTCATATTGTTGGTTTCACAGCCATGATATTCAATTGTATATTTTTCTCATTGTGTCTGAAAACTTTCTGCAAGAATTTGGATTTTTTTTTGCTACATTCGTATCAATGCGTGATAAGATTTATCCCCTGTGTTCTGATATGTTGTAGATTTATTTATCTCGGAGGTTTTAAAAAAATTCTGATTCTCATCAGTTTCCTGTTTGTTGTATCTTCAGGTACCTGTAAAACCATCCACATACATTGGGAGTGCCTTCAAGCCTGTCAGTATGTTTGTACAGGAACATGGCCATGTGTTGAGAGACAAACAGAAACAAGAAATATTTGAAGCAATTTTTACACGTCTGGCAGAGCAGTATGTATTTCCATATTCCTACATTGAAATTTTTCCATGATTCTGTTTCTTGGGCACATCTTCCTTACTTTTTCTTGTCAATTATCACTGGTACTTCAAAATTTGCGTTTGGGAAAAGGAGAGCATAATTGGATTTTAGGGTTACACAAATCTTAACTCACACAGTTTGTGTGTGGATACATCTTGAATGTTCAATTCTGAGGAGTTTGTGTTTGGTTAATAAAGCACTGGTGAAGATCTGCAAAATGTTTGATTTCTGTGACTGGGTCTTCTATATACGAAACCTTGTAAGCTTTTAGATGATAGCGATTAACCTTCACATTGCTGAATCAACAAAACACTAAACATGTAATTAATTTGAAAGTAAATCATCAGGTTTATTCTCCTGGGGTTGGTATCTCATATTGTTCATACCGTGTTGAATGCCGTTTTGGTCTATGAACACCACTGACATGTGTCCTTTAAATATCCTATGGTAAGCTCATGTGTTGTTGCCAAATAAGCAACCTACAGGCTTTAAATGAAGACTGTGCACTTTGAATTTGTAAATAATGTAGCTCAGAATTTGTAAAAGTAAATCCCTTCCACACTTATATTACTGAAATCAAAAAAATTAGAAGCTGTGAAAGAGAGTTGATTTTGCAAAATGTCAAGTATCTTCAGAAGTTAATGTGTCAAATACAAGATTTAGAACACTGTCATTTCTATTTTGTTTTGTATGAATTGAAAGGAGTTTCTAATGTACATCTGGTTTTCTTCGAGTCAAATGTTTGTTTGTTTACTTGATATTCATGACTGGCATATTGCTTTCCCTCCTGGTTCCTTGTAATACCTATCATTAAGCAATTAATATTAATATTTCATATTGCATGATTCCTATAATTGTATGTCATTTATCAAAAAGGATTTGTGCCAAGCATTCAGGTCCTTTTTCGACCAAAATTGTTCATAAGATCGGATCTGCTGACCATATTCTGACAAGAATTGACAAAGCTTTTCCTGACCTGTATAATATCTGTAGGTCCATCTGGATTTATGTACAAAATATTGATGAATCTTATGAAAAACAGCAGTTGACTTTGTCATATCTTTTCTTATTAAGATATGTCTACAGGTCCCTCTCCATTTATGCACAAAATGTTTTATTTAAAATGTGACAAGTCTTATATAAAACAGCAGTTGACTATGTTTAAAAATGTCCATCATTCGTCCTTAAGTCACTAATTGTTGTTGTTTTGCTTCAGGTACTTCTCTGTAACATCTGATGTCCTTCTGTCAGTTAAGAAAATGGAGGATTCACTGAAGAGGTTAAAGAGGGTACGAGGTACAGATAAGGGGGCAGGATCACAAGGGCTAACAGACGACGACAAGATACGACAGCAGATAATACTGGATATCGACAGCTACGGACAACAGGTAACTATGGAAAATATAAAATATAAGTTTGACTCTCCCCCCGCCATCTGTAACTGAGGACAATTACCTCCTCTGTCTGAAGTTTGGACAACAGGTAACAAGTCAACATATCAGCTGTCTTCTTTGTAGCCTCCTCTGAGAATAGGTTGAGGTAGTAGGACTTTCAGTGTACCATGTTTGTCCATATTTTATTGTAATGTTTTTCTCTCCTATTTTCTAGGTCACCAGTTATGGTGTGAAAAAAGAAAACTTGGAAAGTTACAAGAAACTGCAGCAACTTTCAGTAGAGGCGAAATCTGCCATGACGACAGCTCAGTGATCATGTGACGATAACATGCCACTGTCATATGGCAGTTACTGTCTTGTGACAACAGATATATGGTTACTTAGGTCATTGTCTGGAAACGTTTTGAGTATGAAGTGAATGTTTAATTTATTTTCACAACATTCTGTGCAGCAGTACTTTGGTTTGTTTCAAGATATCTAAAGATTTTGAGAAAAAAAAACATATGAAAAACTGAATTAGAATTTTATGAATAAATATTACAGTAACCTTAAATAGATCTTTTAAGATTATTGTACTGTGTCAAAGTGTGACTAAGACAGAGACATTATTATTGTGTGACTGTGTCAAAGTGCGACTAAGACAGAGACATTGCTGTGTGACTGTGTCAAAGTGTGACTAAGACAGAGACATTACTGTGTGACTGTGTCAAAGTGTGACTAAGACAGAGACATTACTGTGTGACTGTGTCAAAGTGTGACTAAGACAGAGACATTACTGTGTGACTGTGTCAAAGTGTGACTAAGACAGAGACATTACTGTGTGACTGTGTCAAAGTGTGACTTAATACAGAGACATTACTGTGTGACTGTGTCAAAGTGTGACTTAATACAGAGACATTACTGTGTGACTGTGTCAAAGTGTGACTAAGACAGAGGCATTGCTGTGTGACTGTGTCAAAGTGTGACTAAGACATAGACATTATTGTGTGACTGTGTCAAAGTGTGACTAGGACAGAGACATTACTGTGTGACTGTGTCAAAGTGTGACTAAGACAGAGACATTACTGTGTGACTGTCAAACTGTGACTTAGACAGAGACATTACTATGTGACTGTGTCAAAGTGTGACTAAGACAAAGACATTACTGTGTGACTGTGTCAAAGTGTGACTAAGACAGAGACATTACTGTGTGACTGTGTCAAAGTGTGACTAAGACAGAGACATTACTGTGTGACTGTGTCAAAGTGTGACTAAGACAGAGACATTACTGTGTGACTGTGTCAAAGTGTGACTAAGACAGAGACATTACTGTGTGACTGTGTCAAAGTGTGACTAAGACAGAGACATTACTGTGTGACTGTGTCAAAGTGTGACTAAGACAGAGACATTACTGTGTGACTGTGTCAAAGTGTGACTAAGACAGAGACATTGCTGTGTGACTGTGTCAAAGTGTGACTAAGACAGAGACATTACTGGGTGACTGTGTCAAAGTATGAATAAGACAGAGACATTACTGTGTGACTGTGTCAAAGTGTGACTAAGACAGAGACATTACTGTGTGACTGTGTCAAAGTGTGAATAAGACAGAGACATTACTGTGTGACTGTGTCAAAGTGTGACTAAGACAGAGACATTACTGTGTGACTGTGTCAAAGTGTGACTAAGACAGAGACATTACTGTGTGACTGAACAGGAAACAGGGAATACAGAATTAGAATATAACAGGAGGGGTTGTACTCATGTGGTGGCATATATACTAGTAAACTTCATATTAAAAGATTTATTTACAGTATGCAAAAGTTCTGAAATTAATCTTTTTCAGTTTCAGACTGCAGTAAATTTTTGTTTTCTTGTTTTGTTTGGTAGCTAGATACACAATAATTTATAACATAGTTATAATTTATACTTCATCAAAAATGGAGCCATATATATAGTAAGTAACAGTATTTAGTCAAGATGATGTAACCGTATCATTGCTATCTATGAACAGTATGTCATAGAAATTGGGGATGCATTAAAATCATGTGCTGGAAAAATCAATAATTTTGTATTTATGTGTATAATATGAGCTAATGGTTTTCTCTTTGAAAAGAGGTTTCAAGTGGAAAATAAAATCTTCAAAACTTTTAAAGTGGGTTTTGTTTGATTCTTAATATGACCATGAAAACAAATTGGATTTCTGCACAAATGCTTTAGATGAGCTCTGGCTTAAATGCTCAAAAATTGAAGGAAAAATATCATGATGAGCTCCTACAATTTTTCTCAGAAATAACAAGAGTCGATCACCAGATTAAGGAAAATTCTACCCAGCCTATAACAGATGTGTGCCTACATGATGGCCATCTCTTTTCTCACACATGGATCTCTTACATGAGAAGTTCTGTATAAAAATGCTATGGCAATGTGAACATTACTCAGACAGAGGATTTTCGAGATAATATACAATTTACACGATGTAAACAATGTTGTGTATTGGATATGTACCTATGGCAGTTTGTGAAACTCCGGAAGCTAAGACACAAAAGGGTCTGTGCTGATGTGGTTGTGTCCTTGGGCTAGACACTTTACCCTAGGGTTCTGAATGGCATGTGATGGGCCTCCCATTATATCATATGGGAGGCCCATCACATGCCATTCAGAACCCCAGGGTACTACAAGGAGACTATTCTTCAAAATGACCCTGGCTGTTAACACGACGATAAACCTGGCATACAAACATGGATGTGAAGAGTGCATATATATAAATGCAGTTTCAAAAATTAAAAAAATCCAATGTAAAATTAAATATCGCACATGCATTAATTCAAAAAGAAATATTGACATGTATTTCAGTGGTCTCATGATTATAGATCATGATCTGTACTGTACACTGCTAGTTAGCACTCCACCAAAAACTGATTTTGTGTTGTCTCAGTCTGTTCTACTACTTCTCACTGGAACTACATACTTGAGATACAGGTTCACCTTGGTGAGGCAGTGTGTCGTGTATCAAATATAGGTCACTCTGACCTACATTTTGACCTTCGACCTACATCAAATTAAAATTTTGTCCAGGCCCTATGTCATTAATATTAGTCACTAGAGCTTCAATCTTAGGGTATGGAATAAACTTGGTGAGGCGGTATGTCTATTAGGGACTGTAATTACCTTGTAGCTAAATTGTCTTGTTATACATAAGCATGTGTACCTGTATATGTTATCTCAGGATGTATTTGTTAATCAAAGAAGGTTCTAATTACATGTAGGTAAATCATCTATGGGAGCAAACAGATATACATGGACATGGAGATATCATTAGAGTTACTATTAAAAAAGATAGAGAAAACATTTCATTCATCTTAGAAGTTTTATAATCACCTTTGTAAATAAAATAACAAGATACATGACTGACAACAACATTTGTACAGATTCATCTGCCTCAGACTTTCTCAGATCAAAACTGAAGACAAAAAAAAGAAATCAATACAAGATTATCAGTAAAGAAATGTAATACTATCAAGGTGCCTTGTATTGCTGACCCCAGATCCAAAATAAGGAAATCAGAACTAGGTGTTGATAAATGAAAATTTCAAAATTTACATTATAAGGAATGTGCTTTTCATAACATGCATGTACAATGATAGCGGACAAAAACATTGAAAGATTCCATATGTGTCAAATTTTTTATAAAAGCAAAACGTCAGACCTCTTCATCTTTCGAACACCTTCAAGATTAAACTTAAAGATATACACATTGTCTAAAACAAAAACTACTTGTTAGGAAAACTATGTTATACATCTAAATAACCTAAAATGTAAATATCAGATCATTATTTTGACAAATTCTCATAATACCACATATTTGAGAAATTAAAATACGAGTATAAAGTTTTGCGCTGATATAAAGATTCAAATGTATAGATGTCTATATTTATCTCCTATAATTCAAATTTGATGTCATTCCTCTACATTTTAAATTCTTTATATTCAGCTAAAATACCTTGGCTTGACCATTGGCTTTTCTTTCTAGTATTTCAAGTTCTTAATTAGACATCATACTGCCTTATATCACATTTCTATTAATATCAAGTTTCTCATCATAGAATATTCTTAATTCAGTTTGGTTTATATAATGTGATATAACATGGAACTCCTCATAATATCACATTTTATAAGCAGGTTTTAGTATATCATATCAAATTAATTTTCTAGATTATGAAATAAAATTCAGATCTGGTCAGTACTGTAGCTGTGTAATATCACTTGACAGCACTAGGTCCATATCGAAGCTCCTGCTCAAACTGTTCAGCAGTAAAAGTCCCGTCAAGCCTTTCAAAGTTTGGGTTGAACACAGAATAGGCACTTAGTTTATTTTTCTTCCGTTTCCTATCACTTAAGCTTTTGTAAAGGAAAAACAAGGCCGACAACAAAATGAAAACAGCACCGAACTGTAGTTCTATAAATAGTCCCCACAGTGCCAACCATAAGAGACACTTTAGACAAAGCTCCAGTACTGCTATTTTATTCCACACTTTTGGCTCCAGAACTTCCTCTTCAGGGGTTTCCTGCTGTTGACTGTCATCACTAGACATAGCTGTAGTGGTGTTATCATTGTTAGATTCTGACTTCGACTGAGAACTGACATTCCCAGCAGTCTGAAATATGCATAAATCAGAAAAAATGCAAGTCAAGATTGGAACCTGGGATAATTTCACTTAATGTCAAATAGAGTTAAATATTTTTAAAATTTTTCTTGTCCTGCAATAAACTCACCTTTCCTTGATTATCTCCTTACAACAATTGTTCCTGGACGTAACACTTACATCATTGTCAAAACCCTAGCTGCATCATACCTAGAGGGATTTTGTTCAAACTTCACACACTTATAAAGGACCATATTGTTTTGGACAAGTTCAAATTCAAAGGTTGTAGGGTCTAGTCAAGTTCACTGTAACTACTTTTAAAAAAGCCTTGTTGGCGTCCAAGAGGCTTCATTCCTTGGGGGATTTTGATCACAGAGACACAGACATGTCCGATTTCAGGGTTGTAGGGTGAAGGTCATAATTACTCTATACAGAAAATTCTTATCAGCACTCAATCTGGGGGCTTCATTCCTGGAGGGATTTTAATCAAACTTCACACACTTGGCCATCTTCTTTATTGTGCTTAATTCAAGGTGGAACCACACGTGATTCATATCCATTGCAATGCCTTGTTCAAGTTCATATGTTTTGAACTCAAAGAGCTTATTCTGTTGTCAAACCAATTGAGGTACTGTACAAGGTCAACTGTAGTCAAATGTACATAAATATACATACATACACAGTCAACCTATATATTTCTATTGGTCTCAAATTCTTGGTTTTCCTAAGATTAATCCTGAACTGTTGGGGGGAATTGTTTTTACAACCCCAGGCCATCCAATTTTTATTAATGATGGTTGTGTCTGAAAAGGTGCCTTTTTAAGGGCACATCAGAAAAAGCTGACCACACATGGAAAACATATAACTAATAAATTCACCTGTGCGTAACTAGAACCTCTAGCTGAATTAAAAAGATCGAACTTAATCGTATAAAATCTTCTCAATTTACCACACCGAATTTGAAATACTGTCAATCATCTTGCTTAGTGAAAAAATAACCGTTTCATACCTTATTTCTCCGTAATAAGTTAGAGATGAGGCCAGATTGACTGCCGTCATGTCTGGCAGTTTCCTTTGCTTTCCTTGCTCGGTATTCGGCAAGTTTGGACTCCATTGCCCCTCGCGCACCGACACTCCATTCGTCCAAACCTGGAGTACACGTTGATATGTTGATATTTATTCATAATCTACTTTCGTTTTTCGACTGAAAAAGAGTATAATCAAGGGAGGTAACTGTTTCAGACAATTATCAAACGCCACTGCTTCATTGGGATTTTTTTCTTTCCATTTCTGTTTTTGATTTTTTTACTCAGTAAAGATAAAGGATTTGGTAAAACTTTCTTCAGAAATCTTAACATTTTTTTCGATGCAAATAGTTTTCAAATGGAGGCTGACACACGAAATAAACGAATATGCTCCTGTATAAGAAGCGGAAATTCTTTTTCGTCATTATTTTACTAACCTCTTGTCATGGACTTGCGTCTTTGCACTTCACTGAAATATAATGAAAAAAATAATAAGGTAATAGAAATAAGATATCAAGTATCAGAAACCTAGATATGAGATATCTGTGAGCACCAACTAATACGGGTAACATTTCATGTATTTCTTTTTTAGGTTTTATCATTTTCCCAACGAGCAGTGTCATACGAAGACGGGTTTCAAGTGGGGCACCATGTGTGGAAAATAAAGCAGAGAAAGAAAGAGAAACACACGAAGTGTAATTCTAGTGTAAAATACTAGCCGCAATATACCACTCGGTTAGAGAGAACTTTTCTTTAGCTCGATTGGTTGAGCGCCAGACTAGTAAGCCAGGTGTCCCGGGTTCGATTTCTAGCGGAGGTATTGAAATAAATAAGGACCTTTGTTACAAAAGGATAATATCAAGATATCAAGTGTTGCAATAGGGAGAGATGGGAGGTGGGATATGTAGTTTTCGGGGCTCTCATATATTCCCTAAACAGAAGGCTAGATAAACCATCCCTGACCCCACAGGTTGAGACGGTGCAAACTGGTAATTTTGTTACAATTACGACAATATCGATCATTTCTTTACACGTATTATCTTAGGGATAAACTGATGTAAATTACGATGATTACTGAAGAGACCCTCTTGCATGTTCTGTTGTTTTTAAAGCTAAAAAATAATTATTATTGTTCAAAGGATTCAATCTTTCAGTTGTTTTTTAAAGCTAAAATATTTTAATGTCTATTTACCGCAACCTAACATGTAGAGGAGCTATAAAAGATATGAAACTGCGTTTTCTTTTCTGTTTTTTTAGCTATCTCTTTGTCGGAAATAAAACATCTAACTGGTCACATTTAATTGTCAAATATGATAGAGTTGCCTCCCTTACACTGATCTGGCTCGCGTGAGCTTCTTCCAATCGCAGTATTATATCCAACCATTCTTCTATTGAGGTTCAGAATTCATTTTCCTAAGTTGTGTGTAATTTCTAAGTCTTTCGCCCAACTTGCAGCAAGCTCCTCCGTCTTTATTCAATAAAATGCATCAGTGTCCACTACAACAGTCAGACCAGATCGGGTTTCATCGGGTTCCATTATGTATAGTAGATTTGATACATTATGTATAGCAGATTTGATGCTGGCTTTGCATTTCTCAATAAGCTGAGACACTGACCGCGCCGAGTTAACTGTCATTGTTACCAGAGGGTACCAGGGCAAGCTCTTCTACCCAAAAGGCTTTTGAAGAGAATGCGACCGGCCTCTCGCATTGTGTTCAGTGCTGTAGCCTCCATTGGCCACTCACAGTATTACTGACTGTTCTCTAGTTTTTAAATCCAGCGAACAAACATATTCTTCATCATTTCACTTCCAATCTATATATGGTATTGCACGTGGGCGAAGCAGACAGGATTTGTTGTTGTTTTGTTAAGGTTGCATTTTTCATTTTATGTTTTTTTTTTGTTTGTTTTGGCGTCAACCTGATATTGATATTAATTTTTATTTAAGATTTTAATTAAATCTTCGTGTGTTGAAATTTTCTGTGTCAGTTTTTATTTATCTTAAGCTGTGTTTACACGTATTTATCGTAAGATTACATTTAATTTCTAAAGTTACTAACATATATTGGTAGTCAATGTGGTAAAAGACTTTTCTTGTTTTTCTTACATAATTTCGTTTTCATACCGATACGGTTTAACTTTACAGCCCGCTGGCTGTCTTTTCAAAGTCAACAAGTAGTTTGACAGAGCTTGATTACCTTTATACAAGACCAATGATTGATGTTTACAATTTTATTGACACTAAAATTTACTGATATAAACCTTGCCAGTAGATAGCTGGTTTATAAATGATTATAAACACATTTCACGGAGGCCAAATGACGTTTACCCACTCATTCATTCGGAAATTACTGAACGTCAGTATCGACAAACATTGACAACACTATGAAAATATTTTGAATGGAAATGTTTGAAAAATAAAAATAGCTAACACTTTTTGGCACATATTCATAAAAAGGTATTGAAATGCGAAATGAAAGAGACGGAATTTTCTAAGGTTTGTTTTCTCGATTACATGCTTGAATAGGACGGGATTTATCATAGTCCGGAATATCATAACGGGGAATGCTAAATATATATATATATATAGTGAAAGGATGGTCGTCATTCAGTGACGTACACAGATATAGATATGTAAATGAATAGAAGTAGGAAATTTTCAATCGCAGACAATTATATAAGATATTATATTGTTTATTTCATGTCTCGTGTTTGTCTGTGTAAGTGAAATCGCGAATTGCACTGAGAACTGGGAGTCTAAGTAGTATAGTTACATGGTCGAAAATGTAAATTACATGATTTTGTTTATTGGTCAAAACAGTAAACATATATTTTTTGATGTGAAAAAAATGCATATTGTGTGTGGTTTTTATTTGGTGGTGGTGGTGGTTGGGGGTGGGGTGTTGTTGGAAGTGGGGTTTAACTTGGTTGATTTTGAACATAAATAAATAAAAGTATTGAGGCTATGTTCACACGGAACTGCTTTTTGTTGATATTTTTATTCTTTAAATCAAAACTAACGATAATTGATAACAGGTCTAGAATTTATTGTTCGCTTTAGCTTTTTGTTGGTTTTTAGTTTTTGTTTGATTGTAATTATCACTACATTGAAGACTACGGTATTTTTTGCATATCTAACATTTCTGATCAGAACTCAGTAGAAAGATAATACTTGATTTTCCTATTTTTAGGCCCACGTGGGCGGATCGATACCGGTCTATGTGAAATTAGGTCACTTTCACCCCCGTGTGTAATTGAGATTCATATCTACAATGTAATCAATTTATCATTATCGATCTATTGATTGACCTATATAATATTTTCTATAATTTATACGCCACTGTCGTGTAAAGATCTCATACTTACAAGCATTTCAGCGAGATCATGCTTCACAACATATCTAAGCTACTATATCCTAACACTTAACCATTGTAATGTATTATATTACTCTAAATACCATTTTCATAATGTTTTTTTTTAACAAAAACATTTTTTATATACGCGAATAAAAATGTTTCTGTTTTAAATAAACTTTTTTTATATATGCGATTTCGTAACGCAATTCTCTTGTTGAATATCTTATCGATATGAGCTGTGTTTTGTTCAAGGTGTTGTGTGTGAGACCACCTGTCTGTACTTTTTGTGCCTTATCACTGTTTGTTTAGATGGAATTTGACCTTTTAAATTGTCTAAATGATTCCTAACACGAATAAATGTTCGATGTTAGGTCAGCAGATGTCGTGTACTGATGTCCTTTCGTGAATATTCGTGACATTTGTAACTTTACATAACGCCGTCGCCTTGTTTCCCTGTACCGGATGGCAACTAACACAATAGTTTATTGTTTAAAAAAGTTTGGTTATAAAGTCTGGACGAATGATTTTTTTCGAAAGGTAAAATTAGTGAATATCTATGGCATATTGAAATATCGTGTAATGCGGCATATAACCTTTGGTGTAGAACACATTGTATAAAAAACACATTCAAAAACATAAGATATATATAAGTGTATATCGCCTGAAGATGGCCGTAAGGCTTGAAAACGTTAGTGATTTTGAATTTTAGTTGCAGTGTAATATTTTGTTTTTTCACTTGTATGTACGATACGCAAAGCCTTTCTCTTATAGAAATACATACAATGTATTGATTTTTGCTTGGGATAGAGAAAAAAAGAAATAGAAAAGCAAAAAAAAAAAACATAAAAAGGTCAAAGTACCCGATAAACCATTTCTTGGTGACCTTACTCGTAGCACAGGGACATTATGTAGATTGTCATATCTAACAAATATTGATTTTACTTTCTTTAACGTCTAATAATATTCTAGGTCCGTATTCATAAAGTTGGATGTGAATTCTTGATTCCATGTGACCGTTGTAGGTAAGAAGGATTTTATGGGAGAAGAACAGTATCTATAAATTTTCCACAATAAACGTTCTTTATTTTTGTTACAATTTAGGCCACACGGAGCTTCAAACCCAGATCCTATATGTCCTACTTATACACATAATTAAGGTCGACCTTACACTAGATAACATACAGCGTTTGATAGATCTAGTGTTGATTAAACCGTGGGCAGAAGGTGACTGGTATTTACTCTCTATGTATAGAACATTACCTGTAAACAATAGAGTTGTTTACACTCCCCAACCCACATTCGCTATACAGGACCCAGGGTTCGATAACGATACTATACCTAGTATTGACTGGGAATATACATTTCGTACTAGCCTGTTCAAGTACCAACCCTTGATTTTATGGTTTATTGTCCATGTAACACAAAATCGGTCATGTCAATAGTGACTAGCCGACCAGCAGTAATATACATGTAATGATGCCGGACTTGAACAAGACTATGGACCCGGATTATTTTTTTATCACACAATTCGCCTGTGATCCAATGAATTTGCCCATGTAGCGTATTTGCGTATACATCACTAATGTAATATACCCTATAGCGTTTTTCATTGGCTGTGTCAGTCAGCAATTAATTGTGATATCAACAATTGGCATTACGCCATGAATGGAAAATAGTGCAACAAAACGCTTGGACCTGTTTGATGTTGTCTTCCACATTTTTAAAACATATCAAAACGTCACCTTTTTCAGTTATGTGATGAAAAGTATCTTAAATTTGTTTTCAT